ATATCTAGCACTGCATGTGAACTGGCCTTGTGGCCTTTGCTTGTGCTCGGAGTGTGGTGACGTTGTGATCCACCCTGGGCTTGCGTTGCTTTGCTGGACTGGTCTTGTGACCCTTTGTTCTCCCCCACTTTGCCTATGGGGGTGTGTTAAACTGTTATATGTTGGTAGGCTGTAGTGGGGTAGCCAGTATGGGGTACAACCCCAACTAGGGTTAGCTACTTGTACCCAACTGTTTCATTCAATGCATCATTCTCACGCTAGTATTTTGATACCAGGGTGATACGGTATGCCCCACCTCACGTGCACATTGATCATCTGTGCAATCAGGATACTGTGGAATCACGTCACTACGCAATCGCTAAACCCTGCAACAATTTTTAGAATTCTCAAGTGTTGGAAACTTTCATGGTATGCCTCGCGTGCACATTGATAATCTGTGCAATCAGATTACTGTGGAAGTATGTCACTATGCAATCGTTGAATCCTGTGCAACATCTAGCCCTCTGCTTCTGTGTCAATCAGCCCTCTCCTCATCGCATCGCAGCCTTTCTAAGCAGATCCACCCCGTCAGCCCCCAGCCCTCGCTTGCCCTGCCCAACCCTGCCTTGCCTCCGTCTCTGTTGGTACCTGCCTTGCCTGCTGCTCCCTGCCTTCTCTCTCTCCATCTACTTCTGCGTTAGCCCTCTCCTCACAGCAGCCTTGCAAAGCAGAGCTAGCCTGTCAGCCCCCAGCCCTCCCTTGCCTTGCCTCCTGCCCTGCTGGTACCTACCTGCCTGCCTCCTCTCTTTCCATCTATTTCTGTGTCAGCCCTCTCCTCACAGCAGCCTTAGAAGTGCAAGCCACTCAGCACCCAGCCCTCCCTTTCCCTCCCTTGCCTGATCCTGTCCTGCCTTGCCCCTTAGCCTGCTGCTACCTGCATTGTCTCTCTCTCCATCTATTTCTGTGTTAGCCCTCTCCTCACAGCAGCCTTAGAAGTGCAAGCCGCTCAGGACCCAGCCCTCCCTTTCCCTCCCTTGCCTGATCCTGTCCTGCCTTGCCCCTTAGCCTGCTGCTACCTGCATTGTCTCTCTCTCCGTCTACTTCTGTGTTAGCCCTCTCCTCACAGCAGCCTTTCTCAGAAGAGCCAGCCGGTCAGCCCCCAGCCCTCCCTTGCCCTTCCCTGCCTTGCCTCCGTGCGTCCCTTGTCACCTTGCCTGCTGGAACTTGCTTTGTCTCTCCCATCTACTTCTGAGACAGCCCTCTCCTTATCGCAGCCTTTCTGAGCAGAGCCAGCCGGTCAGCCCCCAGCCCTCCCTTGCCCTGCCCTGCCTTCCACGCCCCCAGCACCTCAGCTCGCTTCAACACATCCCCTCCCTTGCTCCTCTCCTTCTCCTCCTCCTCCCCCTCCACCCCCTCCTCCCCTTCCTTTTGAGATTCCTGAGGACTGACATCCCCTCCCTTCCTCCTCTCTGCTCCCTCCCCCCCCTCCTCAACCTCCTCCCCCTCCGCAACCTCCTCTACCTCCTCCTTCGCTCCTCCATTCCCAGGCGTAGATTCGCCTCCTCCAACCTGCTGCGCCTCGTCTGCTACTCGCCCCTCCTTCAACCCCTCTTCCCCTTGCTGTTCGTCACCCAGCCCAGTCCCATCCTCCCCGGTTCTACCCTCCTCAGTTTTATCCTCCCCACTTTCACCCTCCCCAGTTATACCCTCCCCACTTCTATCCTCCTCAGTTCTACCTTCCCCAGTCCTACCAGCCTGTTCCAGTGCCACGTCAGCACCTGCTGCTGCTGCTGCACGTGCCAGCTGCATGGTCAGAGGCCCGAGACGGGCGGCGAGATACGTCTGCTTCTGGTGGAGGTCTGACAGGCACTCCCACTCAAAGAAGGGTATCTGCGGTGGGGAGTGGTGGAGGGAGGTAGAAGAGGGCTCAACATTGACACGTCATGGCAAAAATTATTCAGGTGTGAAGTTTAGTGTAGTGTTTTGGGTGTTCAATTCGATCGCAGGGGTAAGCGCCAATCAGGAAGGCATGCTCAGTCAAAGAAAGCATTGCGATCAAGGGGCAAGGAGTGAGAGGAGGAGGAGCAGGAGAGGAGAGAGGGAACGTAGGAGGGTGAGGGACAAACCAGAAATACCTGATCTACATATATTGAGATTCAAATGTATAAGTGATATTATTGCTTCTGTGCTGTGTACCCTGAGACCTCACCTGACCCACCTGGCACCAACAGATATCTCACCCAACTGAACCACCTGAAGCCAACAGAGGGACTCACCTGAACCACCTGCCAGCCTCGGCAGCGCAGCAGCCTGGCCTTGAGGCGAGTAGGTCCCAGCGGCACGTGCTGCTGCTGTTGCTGCTGCTGCGGGTAGTGGTGCTGAGAGTGCTGTTCCTGCTGCAGGTGCTGCTGCTGCTGCTGTTCAGCTCCCATTCCCAATGTGCTTATAGTGAAGTGTGACGGGCCGTCAGCTTCCACGGCAATCTTGAGAACACGCTGCTCCCTCCTCCTAGAATCACTCCTTTTAATGTCACCATCTGCGGATCCCGGGTGTGGCGCGAGCGGCAGCAGCAGGGCGATGTCGATGCTGTAGTCCCCATCTCGGTACTCCAGGGCGTGGGGGAGGTGCATCTGGTGCAGGGCGCAGCTGATGTCCCTCTGTAACCCTGACACCTGCAGCTTCTCCTGCTCGTGAGCCGCCTCCCAGCACGCCTGTAGTGGGAGAAGCATACACATGAGTGAAAGCACGCTCACACACACATGAAGGTGTGCGTGCGGGGGGGGGGGGGGGGGGGGGGGGGCGTGTTTTGAGACGTCTCAGAGCACGCGCACACACACATGAAGGTGTGCGTGCGGGGGAGGGTTGAGTTTCATCTGGTGCATCACATGTACATACACATGAGCATGCACACACACACATGAAGGTGTGTGTGAGGGGGAGGTGCATCTGGTACAGAGCAGAGCAGCACAGGTCCCACCATGCCTACAGTTACAAGCACACGAATAAAACGATGTCTCTGGGTATGAACGTGTGTGGGGGAGGTGCATCTGGTGCAGGGTGCAGTGCAGCAGGTGATGCTTCGACCGTCCCACATTGCCTGCTCTCCTCCCCATCCCTCACCCCTCCACAACAGTTGCACCCACCCCCCATCCCTCCCTTCCCCTCCCACCGCCTCGACTAAGCCTGCTGCCGCACAAACCTCGACAGTTACAAGTGCTGCAGAGATCCCAAGTCAACTCGTCCCTCTCCTCCCTTCTAGTAGCTCTATGCTCACCGCCCAACCCACCCCCACTGCCTCTCACCAGTGGTCCCCCCCTTGCTGCCTCACCTTAGCCTGCTGCCGCACAAACCCCGACAGCCACAGGTGCTGCAAATACCAATACGACTCGTCCCTCTCCTCCTCTTCCGCCTGCTGCTCCAACTCCCCCTGCAGCTGCCCCTGCTCCTGCTCCCTCCGCTCCCCCTGCCCTTCCCCCTCGATTCCACTGCCACTCCTGCTCCTGCCAGCACCAGTCATCAGGGCTCCCATCCCGGCTTCAACCAGACGAGTGTTGTGCTCCGGTGCTTCCAGCTGCGTGGCCAGGTCGACCTGCGAGGGAGTGTGAGTGAGGGAGGGAGTGAGGGAGGGAGTGAGGGAGGGAGTGAGGGAGGGAGTGAGGGAGGGAGTGAGGGAGGGAGTGAGGGAGGGAGCGAGGAGTACAGGAAACTGCTACCAGCATCCCTCAGGGCGCCCATGCCGGCCTCCACCAGGCAAGTGTTGTGCTGCAGTGCCTCCAGCTGGGTGAGGGCAACAGGGCTCACGGCAGGAGAGAGGGAGGAGACCAGACTGCTGCCAGAGTCCCACAGGGCTCCCTCAGGGCTCCCTCAGGGCTCCCTCAGGGCTCCCATGCCGCCCTCCATCCACCAGGCGAGTGTTGTGCTCCGGTGCTTCTAGCTGCGTGGCCAGATCGACCTGTGAGGGAGGGCGGGCAGGAGTTTTCATAAAGTCAAAGTACGAAAGGGGACGGCACGGAGGGACGGAGGGAGGGAGGAACGACGGGAACAAGGAAGGCAGGGGCAAAGGGGGAAGGAGATAGGGCATGCAGAGGTGCCTATGCGCTGTGCATGTGTGCTTGTGTGCATGTGTGCTTGTGTGCTGTGCTTTAACCCCACCTGGTAGAGCTGGCAGAGCTCATTAGAGGTGAGGTCACTGGTGAGAGAGAGCAGGTGGTGGCGCAGAATGGGGAGAGCTGGGCTGAGAGACGCCGAGGAGGCCGAGGAGGAGGAGAGGGAGGAGGAGGGGAGAGAGGATGGGGAGTTGGTGGTGGTGGTAGTGGTGGCGAGAGAAGGAGAAGGGGAGGTAGGAGCAGCAGAGGGTGTGTCGGTTTGGCCGTGCACCACGAGAGCCTTTTGAGTCGACTCAAAAGTCACCTCGGTTTGGCCGTGCACCACAATAGCCCATGCCAGCATCACCAGCGCCTGACGGCCAAACTCCTGCTCGCCTGATCGCAGTGATAGACGCCGGATGATCTGCGGGAAAGGGGAGAGAGGGGAGAGAGGGGAGAGAGGGGAGAGAGGGGAGAGAGGGGAGAGAGGGGAGAGAGGGGAGAGAGAGGGGAGAGAGGAGAGGAGAGGCCAGGAGAGGTGGGAAGGAGGGCACCACAATAGCCCATGCCAGCATCACCAGCGCCTGGCGGCCAACTCCTGCTCGCCTGACTGCATGGCGCTGAAGGGTATTTTTGAGAATTCTCAAAAATACCCGCCAACGAATGGTCTGCAGATAGAGAAGTGAGAGAGCAGGGTTTAAGGTTTAAGGGGAGCATAAGCACCAGAGCAGAGCACAGCATAGCAGAGCAGGACAGGGCAAAAAGCACCGCCCACCTCAGATTCAACACGCCGGAACAACGGAGCGGCGGTGTGGCCAATCAGAGCAAAGGCGAATGCCAGGCAGGCGATGGTGCGGCCGGCGTATCTTGGCATGTAGCGGGTGGCATGGGCGGCAGCAGCGGAGAAAAAGGGAACGTCGTAGTGACTCTGTGTTGCTAATGCCCTGAGGGAGAGACAGGGGAAGGAGGAAGGGTGTGGGGAGGAAGAGGGAGAAGAGAGAAGGAGCAGAATGTTGAGTTGATGGGTAAAGCAAGGGTTGAGAGGAACAGAGGGAGGAGAGGGAGGAGAGGGAGGAGAGGGAGACAGAGGAGCGGGAGGAGATGCAGGAAAGTAAGCCAAGGGGTGGGCGGAGGTGAAATGGGAGGTTGACAGGGTTGTGAATGAATTAGAACGCTCAGAGTGGAGAAAAGGGTTGTGCTACGGGGTAACAGGGGTGTTGAGCATTTTGATGAGGTTGTTTTTGAGACGTCTCAAAAACAACCTCATCACATGGGGGTGTTGAGCATTTTAGATATTCGCCTTGCAAAACAAAATGAAAAGCGCAGCATATTTTCTTCGTTGCCTGGCCATGTAGACGAAAGCACCATGCAATCTTGGCATGCCGCACCGCACCGCTCCGTACCATGCAATGTTGGCAACCGCCTGCCCAGATACAGCCTCCCTCTCGAGTTTGCCGCCCACGATCCGCCGCGTGCTCTCCTCCCCCACTGCCTCTACCAGCTGCTGGCTGCGATGCCCTGCTGTGGCATAGGCCCTGTTGGAAGGGAAGGGAAGGGAAGGGAAGGGAAGGGAAGGGAAGGGAAGGGAAGGGAAGGGAAGGGAAGGGAAGGGAAGGGAAGGGAAGGGAAGGGAAGGGAAGGGAAGGGAAGGGAAGGGAAGGGAAGGGAAGGGAAGGGAAGGGAAGGAGGGGAGAGATGGTTTAAGGTGTGGGGTGAGTGGTGCATTATCCGAGCCTCCCCTCTCCTCCCCCACTGCCTCTAGCAGCTGCTGACTGCGGTACCCTGCGGTGGCGTTCGCCCTGTGAGGAGGGGAGCAAGGGAAACAGAGTAGTGCCTTTCTAGGTGCACGGATACCGATATGATTTGCCTCGTGCTCTCCTCCCCCACTGCCTCTACCAGCTGCTGGTTGCGATGCCCTGCTGTGGCATAGGCCCTGTGAGGAGGGGAGTAGGGACGGGAGAGACTGCGTGAGGTGCAGTGAGTTTTTCTCTATCTGCTCCGCTCCTCTCCTCCCCCACTGCCTCTACCAGCTGCTGGTTGCGATGCCCTGCTGCTGTGGCGTACGCCCTGTTGGGAGGGAAGTGTGGAGAAAGGGAAAATTTTTGAGTCGACTCAAAAGTCACCTCGTTACAATGGCACACGACACTTTTTGAGTCGACTCAGAAGTGTGGAGAAAGGGAAAGGGGAGACATCGTATGAGGTGTGATGAGTGTTGACCCATCCACACCTCTTCCCCCCCACTGCCTCTCTACCAGCTGCTGGTTGCGGTGCCCTGCTGTGGCATAGGCCCTGTGAATTGGCGGAGGCAAGGGGGAGGGGAAGGGGAAGAATAAGCAATATAAAATGAGGACCATGCAGCATTGACAGGAAACACTGGGATCCAAGATTTTGATGCCACAGCAGCAATTTTTCTTAAGGAAATATTGTACTACACAGTATTATAGGACTAATGTACTATGCCACACTAGAATGTTACTGTACCATGCGATGTTGGAGAGTGACTGTGTGGAGTGTTCTTGTATCGAGTTGATCACCCGTGACACAAAGAGTGCAAAGAGGTTTGGAGCGCTCATGTTGAGACGGGCAAATGCCCTGAGAGGGGCAAAGGGGATGGGGAGAGGGGCAACGAGAGGGGAAAGAAGGGCTGGGGGTTTGGGGGAGGAGGGGAGAAGGGGGAAAGCAAAGCGTTTAACCATCGACAGCATGAAGAGGGCAAACACGTATGGAAAGTTCATGTTGAGACGAGCAAATGCCCTGAGGGGGGGGACGGGGAATCAAAATGGGGGGAGGGGAAAGAAGATTCGGTTGTATAGCTCCCCCACCCAGGCAGGAAAGGCTGAGAAGAAGAGCGGGCAAGCGAGAAGAAGAGCGGGCAAGCGAGAAGAAGATCTGCCCAGGAAGTGAAGGTTGACAAGAGGAGACGGTGGCTCACCAGAGAATGTTTGACATGTCTTGCGACCCAAACGCAGGTGCGTTGCTCTCAGCTCAGCCCAAGAAGAAGAGAGGGCGGGGCGGTGCACAGGGCATGGGCATGTGATGTGAGACAGAGAGGCGCAAGCTCACCAGAGCATGTTTGACATGTCTTGCGACCCAAACGCAGGTGCGTTGCTCTCGGCCCACATAGCCAGGATGCTATGTGGGCCCACATAGCCAGGGCGTGGAAGAGTTTTGAGACGTCTCAACTCAAAACTCAGCCCAGAGGCAGCCAGGGCGTGGAGTGGAAGAGAGGAGTGCTTGAATGGTACAGCTTGGGAGGAGTTTTTGGAGAATCTTCAAAAAAACAGATGGAAAACGCTGGGAAGACGGAAAGAGCGGCTCACAGGTCAAGGGATGAAAAGAAGAGAGGCGCACGCTCACTAGAGCATGCTGGAAATGTCTTGGGATGCTAACTCTGGCGCGTTGCTCTCCTGCTTACACGAGCAGCGGGTGAAAGGAGGCAGAGAGGGAAGCTCACTAAACGCAGAGAGAGGGCGAAGCTCACCAGAGCATGTTGGAAATGTCTTGGGATGCAAACTCTGGCGCGTTGCGCTCAGCCCAGGCAGCCAGCACGCGGAAGAGAGGGTCGTGTGAGTGGTGGAGCTTGGCGAATGACCTGCACAAGAGAGGGTGGGGAGGGTAGGAGAAGAAGGAAAGGGAGGCGTATTGCTCTCCCTCGGCCCAGACAGGCAGAGCGTGGAAGAGAGAGTCGTCTGAGTGGAAGAGTTTGGCAAAGGACCTGTGAGGTAGGAGAGAGGCCGTGGAGGCAGGGTGAGAGTGTGTGTGACGGAAAGCAAGCCCCTCCCCATGCAGGCAGAGCGTGGAAGAGAGGGTCGTCTGAATGGTGCAGCTTGGCAAAGGACCTGTGATCAGAGCATGGAAAGAGGGTGGGGAGAGGGTGGGGAGAGGGTGGGAAGAGAGGTACGTTGCTCTCAGCCCACAATGCCAGGGCATGAAAGAGAGAGTCGTTTGAATGGTTGAGCCTGGCAAAGGCCCTGCACAAGAGAGGGTGGGGAGGGTGGGAGAAGAAGGAAAGGGAGGTGTGATGCTCTCCCTCGGCCCAGACAGGCAGAGCGTGGAAGAGAGAGTCGTCTGAGTGGTGGAGCTTGGCAAACGACATGCGAGGCAGGAGAGGGGAGGAGAGCGTGTGCGAGGGAGGTTTTGAGACGTCTCAAAACTTCACTCTTTAAACGACATGCGAGGCAGGAGAGGGGAGGAGAGCCTGTGTGAGGGAGGTGAGAACAGGCGAGTCCCGTTCAACTCTTGGGTCCGGAGGATCATCTGAGGGGTGGTGTAGCTTGCCATGCCATGCCATGCCATGCCATGCCATGCCGTACCATTCCGTGCCATGCCACGCCATGCCAAGCCATGTCGTACCATGCGATGATGGCGAGCTGCGGTGCACTGTAGCTGCTCATGTCAGATAAGACAAGCTTTGCCGCCTCGCAGAAGAGCAGGTGCGAATGCAGCCCCACCCGCGCGTGTGCCCTGGGATGAAATCATGGGGGAAAGAGGTGAAAGGGGGGACGCAAACATGGATACAAATGCCATTTGAGTCAACACATATGCACACATGCATGCATGCACAGTGCAACTTGAACAGTGCAGCGTGAACGGTACCAGAGGAATTCCTTGACGTGGCGTGGCTGGTAGCAGTGCAGACAGGCACTCACACACTTCCGAATCCCGATGCTATACTCACGGGTATTATGTATGCAGTGCAATTTGAACAGTGCATTGTGAACAGCGCAGCGTGAACAGTGCATTGTGAACAGTGCATTGTGAACAGTACCAGAGGATCTCCTTGACGTGGCGTGGTTGGTAGCAGTGGAGAGAGCCAATCACGTGCTCCCACGTCAGCCGCCCAAGCAGGTCCCGCGACAAGCTGGCGTTGACAGCTGGCAGGCCGGCGGTGGAGCCAAGGGCGTGCATCTGAGGGCGGGGGGAAAGGAGGAACCAGAGCGTGTGAAGAACTACATATGAGCTTTAGAGGTGAAAAGCTTAGGCTGACAAGCTGGCGTTGACAGCTGGCAGGGCGCCAGTGGAACCAGGCGTGCATCTGAGGGCGGGGGGGGCGGGGGGGGTGGGGTTTTCTATATATATGAATATGCATATATAGAGATTCGATATTCATATGCCTGGAGTCAGATGCACACAGAGACATTTACCCGCACGCACCAGACCAGAATGGCCACTTGCAGAGAGTAGAAAGATTTGATCTGCGCGAGAGACGCTGCCATGATGGTGTTGAGCAGGGATGGCGGGACATGCTGTGCTGATACCCTCATGCACACCCACACTCACACCCACACTCACACCCACACTCACACCCACACTCACACCCAATCACACAGTCATGCACGTACCAGTATTGCAACTTCCAGTGGCTGGAAGGATTTGATCAGAGCAAGAGACGCTGCCATGACGGTGTTGAGCAGGGATGGTGGGCCGTGCTGTGCTGCTGATACCCTCGCACACTCATGCACCGCTCATGCACGCACCAGAATGGCCACTTCCAGAGGCTGGAAGGATTTGATCTGCGCAAGAGACGCTGCCATGATGGTGTTGAGGAGGGATGGTGGGCCGTGCCCCAGCTCTGCTTGTGCCCTGAATCAAAGTCAACGAGAGTCAACGGGGGTCAACGAGGGTCAATGGGGGTCAACAGGGGTCAACGGGGGTCAACAAGGCTGAAACCGATAGTAAGGCACATCTCAAAATGATATTCAGCAGAGATGGTGGGCCGTGCCCCTACTCCGCCCGTGCCTCTAAATTAAGGTCAATCAGAGTCAACACGGATCAATGGGGTGGGTCAGTGGTGGGTTCAATGGGGGTCAATGGGGGTCAATGGGGGTCAATGAGGGTCAATGGGGGTCAATGGGGGTCAATGGGGGTCAATGGGGGTCAATGAGGGTCAATGGGGGTCAATGGGGGTCAATGGGGGTCAATGGAGTTCAACAGGGGTCAATGAGGGAGGGACTCGGGGAGGAACTAGAAAGTCACTTTTCATGACATGAAAACGTGCAGCAGTAGGGATAGTGGGTAGTACTGCCTGTGCCTGTGCCTGTGCCTGTGCCTGTGCCTTGAATTGAATCCAGGAAGTCCAGGAAGTCAACGGCTGTCAATGGGGGTCAACGAGAGGCTCTTTTTTTAACAGCATGCAGCAGCAGGGACAGTGGGAAGTAGTACTCCAGCTCTGCCTGTGCACTGAATCCAGAAAGTCAACGAAGGTCAACGGGGTCAAAACATTTCAGATATTCTCAACCCCTACCTCCAGAAAAAACCCGAAACCCTGAAAGTTCAACAAACCCAAGCCCTGAACCCTGGGTATTGCAACTGACCAGCAAGATACAGAGGAAGCTGCAGCATGCACGTTACATGCACTCCAGCCCATGCCATGCCTGAATACAAATTTTGAGTCGACTCACAAACACGCTTATGAGACTTGCACTCCAGCCATGCCTGAACGGAAGTTTTTTTAGAATTCTCAAAAACATACCTTGCACTCCAGCCATCCCTGAACGGAACTCACGACTACCATCCATTCCCCCACCCAGTCGCCATCCATCCCACCCATCCATTCACCCACCCACCCACCAGCCCATCCACATACTCACCATGCCACGTTGGCCAAGGCTTGACCCTTCAGTCTGCCGCCCTTTGCCAGCACCTCCACCTGCCGCCCGAGCCACCGGACCGTTTCGTCCTCTTTGAGCTGGTCCACGAGACGCCGGCCGCTGCCCATGCGCTTGGCGTGCTTCGCAATGCGGTGGAATGCGGTGCAGATGTGTACAGGGGACAAACCGGTGCTTGCTTTCCCATTCTGTAGGCTCTTTACTCGCTTAGCAGAAAGATTCCCCTCCTCCACTCTGTCTTCGCCCCCTCCACCCTCCCTCACTTTACCCTCCCCCACACTCTCCTCTCCCCCCCTCTCCTCTCCCCCCCTCTCCTCTCTCCCTCTCTTCTCTTCTCCTTTGTCCTTCTCCACACTCCTTCTCGTCTCCTCCCCATTCTCTCTATGTGCTTTCACCACGGCCAGCAGTTCTGCCAACGTAGCGCGATACGACAGGACGTTCATCAGCCGCTTGCCGTCCAGTGCCGCCCAGCTGCGCAAGTCATCATTGCTGGGCGGCATGCTGACGTCACTGTGATCAGGCGGTTTGTGGCGCCTTGCCGCCTTGCTCTTGCGACTGCTGCTGCTGCGGCTGCTGCTGCTGCCACCCGCGCCATCCCCCTTGCCAGTTCCTCCGCTGCTGCTGCTCCGCCGTTCTTTCCGCTGTCCCCCCCTGCCCCCGATCGAGCTACCCACTATTTGCTCACTTAATCCTGTCTCCGCATTCTGCGCGATACTGGCCTGGAATCGACCAATAAGGACTTGAGAAAATCTGCCTGCAAAATACCTCTTGCCAGTTGCCGCTCGCAGGATTTCCGGCAGTTTGCTTGTTTTGCGGAACTCAATAGAACTAGAGACGGTCGGTAACACTCCCAAGGTCCCGGCGGGGCTCTGTGCGACATTTGGCTTCGTGGTATTGGTCAGCGACGAGAGCGACTGCATCTGCGACGTTCGGAAGATGGGCGTGAGACAGAGTAGCTGAAGAACGCGATGCGTGTCAACCGCTAATGGACAGCGCTGATTGCGGAACTCCTGCATTGGTCTTCGCTAATTTTCAATTTCACATGCATATTGCTGCTTATTCGACCTCAAAATCCGACAGTAAGCTATGTACACGCATTCAAACTTTAGCGGAATCGTTTTACCGAAACAGCGAAAGTGGAGGGCAGTGCCGTGAGGAAGCATGTAAGGGCAGCGGAGAACTGTGCGTGCAAGACGAAATCGCTAACCAATGTCCCACAGGGAACAGCCTGGCTTTCGCAAAATAAATGTTTGTTTCGAAGGATTTGGTCCTACACTACCAGAGAAGGCGACAAGCATTACCACTAATGTTTATTGTACTTGCAGTGGATTTGATTAGGCGACAAGTTACCATTCGCTCATATAACAGCGTAAGTGACGTTTTGTTTTGTTAAGCGTTAGGACTTAAAACTATGGGAGTCCTTCAGGTTCCCAGACTTCAGGCTGTCCTCAATTATGACGATATGGCTTGATGCGATCCTGAAAATCCATAGGGCCCCTCTTGCGCCAACCGGATTGAATCTGCACTACCGAGCCTTGCTCACGAGCCTCGCCCACCAACAAGAGCTTAGCTGGTTTGAACCCAACCTCCAGCTTCGGGACATTGGATGAGCTGGTCCAGGGGGAACTTACCAGAGCTGGTGAAACGAAAGGGCAACAACGAGCTGGAAACATCTGGTTCGGCGGCTCGGCTCGGACGGACGTCCCCAACAGTTTCGTAACCAGCTCACGTTTAGGAAGCACGTTTCGTATTTTAGGGGCACAGTGCGTTGCATACTCTCACCTCATTTCGCCTCGTCTCTTCCGATTTGTTCGTGCAATATTCGTTTCTGGAAAACCTCTCGCACGCATCTGTAACCACACTCACACCCTCTTGAGCAGCGTTTTCTCGCCCCATGGAAGTGATGGTTGACGATTCCAGGTCTTTTCCCCAACCACCCAGCTTCAACCCTAGCAACAGTCAAAATGGCTACCAAAACCATTCGACCCATCGCACACCTTTCAACTTCGAGTCGCCGTCCTCGACGCTCTTCCGGCCTTCTCACAACCTACCTTCGTCGTCGCATAATCTTCCCGAATCGGCCGCGACTTATTCCCTCGCAGGCGGCGCGGACTCTATGGCAAGCGCGTCGTCCGTGCCGCCGCGTCCCTCGCGGATGAAACAGCCAGGACACAGGCGAAGTCATTCCGACGGGTTTCAGCTGGACCCATCGCTCGTAATAACTCCGAACGGGACTGCTGGTAGAAATGGCGGCGGCAGCGGCACCGCGCAAAGCGCGAGCGGGATGGAATTCTGGAGCATCCAAGAGGAAACGTCGTCGCACAGCGAAGAATCTATTCAGTTGCCAGGCTCCCACTACGCGCGCAACCGACACAGTCACACTCAAGGCCATGACAGCGGCGCGCCGCAGCCGAAAGACAGGGCATCATCGCTATCGTTTGAAAATAGAAACGACGATTATGGAGCTCAAAGCGGCTCGAGAGACGACGACGCGACATCGAGAATGCAAAATGTAGCCCCTCTTCACAAGCCCCGTCAGCAGCAGCAGCAGCAGCCGCAGCAGCCGCAGAAATATCAGGACGAGCAGAAACAGTTCAACCATTACCACGACCAGCAGCAGCAGCACCAACATATGCCCCCTGCATATCGCTCCCCTGCGCCCTCCGTCCCCGGAAGTCAAGGCGGAGTTCCCGGCTCTGAACGTCGACGGTCCAAGTCGCCGCTCCCGACAGGCAGAGTTGCCGGCGTGCCGCATGTGCGGCCGCTCGAAGTCAGCCGGCCACCCAAACCCAACGGTCCGCGCCATCGTCGCATTCGATCCGAAGATTTTTCGTTTTCAACATTTTCCCCCAGCAGCCCGTCAAGTGGGGCCTCTGGCTCTCCTGTTAAGTCTCCCGTCGGGGCCTCTTCGCGAAACTCGCTAGAGCTCCAACAAAACTCCAGCAGTCGCCTGCGACAGTCGTCGCCGTTACAGGGGTCGCAGGACTGGTCGGGAGCGACGGGACAGGAGCAGTACGGTTCAAGCCCGGGAACTGGCAGAGCCACGTCAGCGCAGACGCAGCAGGCGCAGGGTAGGGCGACGCATGGCGGCGCTTCGTCAGGCTCGCCGGGAGATTGGGCTGACGTGGATTACAGTGCCGCGATAGTTGAGGGCAATTCGCAAGGGACCTCCGCGTCGCAGGGTGGAACCGGAGTGCCGCATACGTCCGCAGAAGAGGAACATAAGGACGGGAGCGCCGATCAGCGGTCCACTACGAAATCGACGGCAGGGGAAAGGGCGCGACTGAATCGGATGGTCACGGTAGTAGCGGCGGTTGGGGCGGATTATGGTCGCGACGCCAGAAGCAGACTAACAGCAATCTGCAGCCTTTGAATACTGCAGCCTCTAACTCCCCTACGCCTCTCAGCATTCCCCTGTCGAGCGCGAAAACGCCGCCTGCCGGTGGTGCGACGAGCCCTATCCTCTCTTGGTTCGGCGCCGGAACCGCCATCACGCCTACAGGCTCGGCAGCCGGTTCGGAAAACTCCCACGATAGCTCGCACCAGGTCTCGCCACACCAGGCTCTACCAACCCAGAGCCCTAAGACGAATTGGTTCGACAAAGGCTCGGGACTAGGTGCGGCAAAGACGAACTCGCTACAGGCTTCCCCTCAACTGTCTCCGGTGACTCCGCCATCGAGTAGCGGCGGGATGCTCTCCTGGTTTGGCGGCGCAGGTCACGGCGGAAGCGGCGCGACTCACACGACCGCGTCTAGCGGTGGCGCATCTCCGCAACAAGCGACAGGCAATAGTACCAGCGGCGGCGGCGGCGGCGGTCTTGCGTCCTGGTTCGGCGGCGGCGTCGCTGGCGGCGGATCACCTTCGTCCGGACCGCCTGCGAAGGGGAAGGGCCATCGCCGTTCCTCTAGTGTCCCCGTCGTACCGAACGTCGTTCCTGATCCGCGTGCCGGACCGGGCGCGTCGCCTCTAGGTCCCAGCACTGCCGGCGGCGGCGCCGGCGGCGTAAACTCGCAGCTGCTCTCCGGACCGCGCGGAAGCATGTCACGATTAGGAGGCGGTGTTGGCGGCGGTGGCGGCGGCGGAGGAGCAGGAGGGTATGGAGGGAAAGGCGGTATGGTGATGAGTACAGGCGGAGTGGTTAGTCTGAAAGGGGGGCTGAAAGTAAATCTTCCAAGTACTAGCCCGTACGGCAGCCCTTACGCGAGTCCCCGAAATCCGCCGGGCGCGGGGGGATTTGCTTCCCCGTACATGCAAGGTGGAGGGGGAGGCTCGCGGAAATCGATGACGCCAGGGGGGTCGCTTTGCGCAAGCCCGCGCACTGTAGCGGCACAAAGCGAGCGGGATCAGCAGAAACTGGCGGAGATTCAGAGCATGTTCAGCAACTGGAACGCGGGGACTCCCGTGCAATCCCCGCGAAAAGGAGCTTCCAGAATCGTTTCTGGCGTTCCGCTAAGAACGCCGCAAGTGAGCGAGTATTATAGAGAGGACGGGGATATTGAGGTGGAAGAAACACCCGAAGTTCTCGGTCCGTCGAACTCAAATGTTTTGGGGAAACCGTATCAGGATTTGGAGGATAAATACAAGATGTCGCCGAAGGAGCTTGGGCGGGGGAACTTCGGCGTGATTCACTTGTGCGAGAATCTGGAAACGGGCGAGCGATACGCGTGCAAGACAATCACCAAGGCTAAGCTCGAGGTACGTTTTGACGAGGCTAAGGTGGGGGATAACTCGGATCATGTGAGGATAAATGCACGCGCAAGTAAGAGCATATGGGCAACACTGTCTGGGCGGCAAGGTGGAATAACGGGTGGCAATGTAAAAGAGGCGTGTGCGACGAGAGGGGGGAGGGATGAGTCGCAGGTGGGGGGAACGGACGTTTGAGGGGCGGAGAGGCGAAGCGTAAAGGGGAGGTCCTGAGGCGCTTTCTAGATGATTCCAGATTTTAATTTCATTGTCCTTTCCGAACATCATTTCCCTGCAGTGCTGGGATGACGTGGACGATGTAAAGAGAGAGGTGCATGTTCTCGAGACTCTCCGAGGGCACCCCCATGTCGTCTCCATTATCGAAACCATTGAAGATGAAAAGGTGTGTGCTTGCATGCAGTCACAAACAGCGCATTACATATAAAAAGAAATATTACAGTCGTGTCTAAGGGTGGAAAAGAAGGTTGAGGGGAGAAGCACAAATGCTCTGCAAGATGGCTGTTCATTCAATCAGGAAAAAAAAAAGTGTCGGTATCACCCTCTCCATCCCATGCATTCCCTCCCCCTTTTCCCCCCCCGCCCCCACCCTCGCTTTATCAGGAAGTGCACATTGTCATGGAGTTGTGCGAAGGCGGAGAGCTGTTCGACCGCATATTGGATAATTGGAGCACACGTACTATGGTACGGAGAGAGGCAGGCGGCCAAGGTGATCCGGCCGGTGGTGGAGGTGCTGGATTTCTCATTCCTCCCTCCCCCTGTCTTCCCTTTTCCTGTCCGTTCTTTTCTTTCCCGTCTCAGGAAGTGCACATCATAATGGAACTTTGTGAAGGTGGCGAATTGTTCGACCGTATCTTAGAACGCAAGTACTACGGAGAGAGGCAGGCGGCCAAGGTGATCCGGTCGGTGGTGGAGGTGCTGGATTTCTGCCACCAGCGGGGAATTGTGCACCGCGACTTAAAGCCCGAGAACATCCTGCTCGTGTCGAAAAGGAGCGACACACGGTGCAAAGTTATCGACTTCGGCATGGCCTACTGCCTCAAGCCAGGTGAGCAAAAGAATACGGAATTGAGAATAAGAGAGCAATGTTTTGAGTCAACCCAAAAGCGACACCCGGTGCAAAGTAATCGTCTTTGCCATGGCCTACTACCTCACTCCTGGTGGGTGTTTTAAGGTGAACCCCGAAGTCGCCTCACGTCAGGTGACCTAAAGGTCAGTTCGATGATGTATCACCAGGTGCAAAGTGTTTGACTTTGGCATGGCCCACGCCTCACGCCAAGGGAGGGTCTTGAGATGAACCAGAAGGCATATTGCCTCAATTCTGGTGAATTTCTTGAGATAATGCACAAGAGAAATTTCTTTGATCCAGGTGGGAGAGGGAGAATGCTGGAATGAAGAACGGGGAAAAGAATTAAACATCTCATCTCTATTAGGGATGAGATAAAATGAATGAGCTGGAAATTCAATCACCACAACGAAGGTCTGGAAAAGGGATGTTAGAATGCACCACAACGTATAGTCCAAGAACATTTGGCCCATGCCCCCACTCACTCTGTCCCAAGCCCATCATTGTCACTCATCCCTCCCTCCCTATCCCATCCCCTTTCCATCTCCACCTCCAAATCCCCTCTCGCCCATCACCCCCCTTTCTATCCCGTCGCTCTTCCAAACACTTTTCCAAATTCCCTCCCTTCCCTCACCGCTCTGCAAACCCATTTTCACCTCCCTCCTCCCAACCCCATCCTTCGCCTCTATCGAACACTGCAACCAGGCGAACACCCCAAGCTGCTGCATGTCAAAACGCACACCTACATAGCTCCAATAGACATAGCCAAGAACTCGCAGTCAACATGCGAATTGCCCGCCTTCATAATCCCCCTTTTCGCTCCCCACCCTCCCCTTTCCCCACTCCTCTTCCGGGCCGCCCTCTCCCTCCCCTCTCTTCCCCCGATCCCTCCTTTTTTTACAGGCGAGCGCTGCAAGCTGCGTGCCGGAACGCCCAACTACATTGCCCCAGAAGTCATTGCGAAGAACTACGGCGCAGAGGCAGACGTGTGGAGCGCGGGGGTCATCCTTTACGTGCTACTTTGCGGGTTACCCCCGTTTTGGGGGGATACAACAGAGGACGTGTTCAAGAGCATCCTGTGGCAGGAGCTGGACTTCGAAACAGAGCCATGGCCGGTCGTGAGCACTGCTGCGAAAGATCTGGTCAGGAGGATGCTGACGAGGAAATACGACCGGCGAATAACCGTGTCGGAAATTCTGAGTAAGTTGGGGGTTGGTCTGAGGGGGGTGGGGAGGGGTGACTTCTGGGTTGTCCAGGTGTATTTTGAGTCGACTCAAAATACACTTGGTCGAGGGGGGGGGGGTGACTTCTGGGTTGTTGTGGGAAGAGGGACTGTGGGTGAGGGGAAGAGGGAAGGGTGGTGGGGGAGGGAGGGTTGGGTGGTGGGGAGGGGGAGGGAAGGGAAGGTTGGGGAGGGGAGAGGGGGGAGGGGTGCTATGGGGGGAGGACGTGTTCAAGAGCATCTTGTGGCAGGAGAGGGAAGGGTGGTTGGTGGGGGGGGGGGAGGGGAGGGCGGGGAGGAGTGAGGGAGGGAGGGGCGTTCAAGAGCATCTTGTGGCAGGAGCTGGACTTTGAAACGGAGCCATGGCCGGTTGTGAGCACTGCAGCTAAGGATCTGGTCAGGAGGATGCTGACGAGGAAATACGATCGGCGAATCACCGTGTCGGAAATTCTGAGTGAGTTGGGATTGGGAGGGATGAGTTTTCTACTGTTGGGAGAGTGGGGTTTGGGGGGGTGAGTTTTGAGGCGAGGCAAGGAGAGTGTGAGTGAGGGGAGGAACATCAGCATGAGATGATCATGGGGGAGTATTGAGTGGTTGGGAGGGATTGGGGAAAAGGGGTGATGGGGGAGTGGGTGAGAAATCTGGAAGCTGGGAGTGAGAAGAGAGAGAGCAGTGCTGGTTAATATGTTTTTCCACCAACCTCACACTCAACCATATATTCTCGTGCTGTTAGTTGCATACAGTCTAGACAAACTCACATATACTCTGAACCATACACACAGATACACATACACTCACACATTCTCACATGGGCACTCTCTTCACCCCTCCCATTTTCATAGATGCATTCACAGACGTTGATTGTCTTCCACCCACGGATAAGAACAAATAACATCAATTCCTTCCCCACCCCATCGCAATCTCGTCCCGTACTTAACATCTTTCCTTGCCCCTTGCCTGTTTTACAGTCACGCTATACCCTTACCCCTCCTTATCCCATCAAAATTCCGCCCAGCCCCCCTTCATGCTATTTTTGTAGAAACCTCTTGCCCCTCCCGTCCCCATCCATCATACCCCTGACTCAACCCTTTTCCCTTCTGAACATTAAGCCTTCTCCCCTCCCTTTCCCCATCCATTATTCGGGACCCATCGCCCTCCCATCCCATCAACCTAAGTCCCTCCTTCCCTCATCCCATCTCAATGCATCTCCCCCCTCCCCTCCCCCATTCACCCCCCAGAGCATCCGTGGATCAAGGCTCTGACATGAGAGCAGCTAACAGGCTGATCAACGTAATCAACGGCTGAGGTCGAACCATAAACGATGGACACAGACTGGCAATGAAGAGAAGGGGGGTGAAGTGAAGGAGGAGGGGTTTGGTGAGTGATGAGGGGAGGAGGGGGAGAGAAGAGGGGGTGTGGAGGGTAAGGGGGAGGAGCGGGTTTGTTTAGCAGAACTGCCACCTACACGAACACCAGGATCAACATGCATTGGATAAGGTGTTGTTTTTGGGGAGGGTGGTAATTCTGAGGTTAGCAAGTCACACAAATAGCCCTCCCAAAGGCCAGCCTTTTTTTTTTGGTCTATGCAGGGTTTTATAACTTCATGCAATTTTGAAGCTGACTGTTATGTGGTCATAGTGAAATGTTGTAACCCAACTCAGGTCAGCAAATGATCCACCACTGGCCTCATCCACCACCAATCATTCGGTGACTCAAGGCCCCTGAGGTCGGCCGGCTACCAAAACCAACAAGGGTGTTGGCAAAACCAGGGGGGAAGGGTGTTGAAATGTGGTATTTGTATACTTTTAGGGCATGTTCCCACGGCCACCTTATCAGGGACACCTCATATCAGCTTCGCATTTTTGACTGGTAAAATTCGCTAAGGTTTTCGGGTTTAGGGAAATTTCATTGTGTTTTGACGCGAGCCTGATAAGAGGTTGGCCTGATAAGGGGTTGTAGGAACTGTCAAAGTATATTGATGCTTGCTGTGTGTAGGCTGTAGTGGGGTAGCCCATAAGGGGTACAACCCAAATTAGGATTAGCATTCGTACCCACATCTGTTCTCAATGCATTCATTCATGCTCCTAGTTTCTAACATGGTTTCAGAGCAGGTCCTGCTCCAGCACCGTTCTTGTTAGGGCCCACCGATCGTACCCTGCCCGTAGCGCTGCCTTGCCCTGCCCTGCCCTGCGTCGCGCTGCCCGCGCACGCCCTGCCTGCGTCGCGCCCCACCCGCGCACGCCTCTGCCCCACGTCGCGCTGCCCACGTGCGCCCTGCCCTGCGTCGCGCCGCCCCGCGCACGCGCTGCTCTGCCCAGCGTGCGGCCTGCGCACGCCCTGCACGCGTCACGCAGCCCTCGTCTGCCCTGCCCTGCCCGTCGCGCCGCCTGCGTCGCGCGGCCCGCTTACCCCCTGCCCAGCCCGTCGCGCAGCCCGCACACGCCCCGACCTACGTCGCGCTGCCCGCGCCCGCCGTCTCCTTCGTCGCGCCGCCCCGCGCACGCCCTGCTTTGCCCGCGCGCCGCCCTGCTGACCGCGCGCGGCCCTTTTTTTTCTGCCCACGCGCTGCCCTGCCAGCCGCGCGCCGCCCCTGCCTGCCGCGCGCTGCTCCTGCTTACCTGCGCGCCGCCCGTTTGCAGCCCGTGCGCCGCCTTTGCCTGCCAGAGCGCCGCCCTCTGCAGCCCGCGCGCTACTATTTCTGCCCGTGCGGCGCTCTGCCCTGCCTGTGCACTGCCCTGCCCTGCCCTACGCGCCACACTGCTCTGCTAAGCTGTGGCCTCTCTCAGTGTTCTCGAGTTTGATCCTGAGGGCCATCCTATCCAGTTCGAGACGTGGCTTCATGACCTACAGCTGTACCTGCTGAGCGATTCTAAGGATAATGTTTCACTGTTTGACTACACGTCAGAAACCTGTCCTGCCCCTCCCGACACAGCTGATAGTGCGACTCGATAACAGTGGCTTACCCATAACGCTGCTGCTCGCCTAGCCATTCGCAACCACTTGCCGTAAGCCGAACGCGCTCACTTTGGCCAGCCTAAGACTGCGAAAGCCCTGTACGATGCTGTAGTCGCCCGCTACTCTTCCCCTGCCACTGCAGCTCTCGGCCGCCTTATACTGCCCTACCTGTTTCCCGAGCTGTCCTCCTTTGCCACAGTAGCGGACCTCATTACCCACCTTCGCACTACCGACGCTTGCTACCGCGCTGCCCTCCCAGCCGAGTTCGTCCCCAAGAACGAGCCCCCGATTTCCATCACTCTCTACTTTTTAGTCACTCGCCTCCCTGACTCTCTTCGCGCAGTCAGGGACCACTTTCTCGCCCTTAACCCCACCAAGCTCACTATCAACCTGCTCAAGGAGCACCTCCTTGCAGCTGAGACTAGTGTAGTCGCTGTAGGTGCTACTCGTGGCACTCCTCGCACGCCCTTCTTTGAGGGGTGCTCCCCCTCCCCCCTTGCCCCCTCTGTTGCTTCTGCTGCTGCTGCTGTCGACTTCCTTGGTGCTGAGGAGGTCGGTGCTGCTTCTGCGCCTAGTGGGAAGTGCCGCAGCGGCAAAGGCAAGGGAGGCAAGAGCGGTGGGGGGGGGGGGGGGGGGGGGGGGGGGGGGAGGCGGTGGAGGCGGTGGAGGTGGCGGCGGTGGCGGTGGGAGTGGTGGCGGGAGCGGGGGAGTCGGTGGCGGCGGTGGCGGCAACGGTGGGGGTGGCGGTGGTGGTGGTCGTGGCGGCAGTGGGGGTGGTGGCGGCGGAGGGAGTAGTGGCGGCGGCAGTGGTGGTGGTCGGACTGGAGCAGTTCAGCGGCAGCAGCAGCAACGTCCCCGCGAGACCCTTACGCCCCAGCAGCTTCGTGAGTGGCTTTTTCAGCGTGGGGCGTCTGGGAGTAGTGGTCGCTGCCCGTACGTCATTCGCACAGGTGACCGCGCTGGTCAGACGTGTGGGAAGTTTCACACCCAGCATCGCTGCTTCTCCCGCCTATACGATGCTAGGCGCACTGAGTTTGGCGAGGAGGTTGAGATGCTCTGTTGGGCAGAGCTGCTTAGGTCTGGTGTTGATATCTTTGCTCTTGACTTTGATGCTATCATTGCTGGCCTGTATGCTCTGCCTGTTAGTGCTGAGGGTGACTGTTACTTGTGTGTGCCGCCTGACCCAGGTATAGAGGCTGCTGCTCTAGGTGCTAGTGAGTCTGCTCTCTCTGGTACTGCGCCTGCTGCGGTCTTGCACACCTTCACCCTTGACTCAGGTGCTTCTCGCTGTTTCTTTCACGACAGTACCACAGTCAAACCCCTCACTAGACCCGTTGCAGTTTCCCTGGCTGACCCCTCTGGGGGCCCGGTTCTTGCATGGTCCTCCACTGTTCTCCCGTGTCCGGCGGTTCCGTCCGGCTCACTGTCAGGTCTCCACCTCCCCTCGTTCTCGACGAACTTGGTGAGTAACGCAGTCCTTCAGGATGCATGGGTTGATACCTTTACCCCTGGAGGCCAGCGTGTGGCGATCTGTACGTGCTCCCGGACTGGCCGTCACCTGGCCACGTTCACCCGTCGGCCTGGGTCGAGTCTGTACACACTGACTACCGCGCCCCCTCAGGTTGCTGCGTCTGCTCAGGTGTCCACGTCAAGTCAGGTAGCAGCCCCCTGCTCGTGTCGCCTCCTGTCGCACCAGACTCTCCTGTGGCACCACCGCCTTGGTCACCCCTCCCTGCCACGACTTCGTGGCATGCACTCCCGCCTACTTATCTTTGGTCTTCCCAGGTCTCTGCCTTCCCTCCCACCCTCGCCTGCCCCGCCCTGCGTTCCTTGCGTCGAGGGGCGGCAGCGTGCCGCTCCTCACTCCTCCTCGTTTCCCCCGACGACTGCTCCCCTGCAGACTCTCCACATGGACGTGTGGGGCCCAGCTCGCGTCTAGAGACAGGGCCGCGAGCGATACTTTCTGCTGGTTGTCGACGACTACTTGCGTTACACCACGGTCTTCCCCTTGCGTAGCAAGGGGGAGGTCCCTGATGTTTTGATCCCTTGGATCCGCGCTATTCGTCTCCAGCTCCGCGAGCGGTTCCGCACGGACCTTCCCGTCCTGCGTCTGCACTCTGACAGAGGTGATGAGTTCTCCTCCGACCTCTTGCGGGACTTTTGTCAGGGGGAGGGCATCCTCCAGTCGTTCACGCTTCCGGCCTCCCCGCAGCAGAATGGGATTGCAGAGCGCCGCATTGGCTTAGTCATGGATGTCGCTCGTACCTCCACGGTCCATGCGGCTGCTCCCCATTTTCTGTGGTCGTTTGCGGTCCGGTACGCTGCACATCAGCTCAACCTCTGGCCCCGTGTCTCCTTGCCGGAGACCTCGCCCACATTGCGTTGGACGGGGGAGGTTGGCGATGCGTCGCGGTTCCGGGTTTGGGGTTCTCATGCCTTTGTCCGCGATACCACCGCGGACAAGCTCTCCCCTCACCCCAGCGTCTTCCTTGGCTTTCCCCCTAATGCGCCTAGCTGGCAGTGTGCTCTTGGCACGGACGTCCTTGAGGACAGGCAGGAGGACTTTGAGTGTCTCGCGGCTGCTTGCACCTGAGGGAGACCCGGATGCACTGGACAACCCGACCCCGGATGGGAGTGTCTTGCGGCTGCTTGCACTAGAGGCGATTTCGGGTCCCTACTCCTCTCAGTGGCAGACAGCCATGGACGCAGAGATGGCATCCTGGAAGTCCACAGGCACTTACGTCGACGCAGTTCCCCCTCCTGGGGCGAACATAGTCGATGGCATGTGGATCTTCCGAATGAAGCGGCCGCCGGGTTCTCCGCCTGTCTTCAAGGCTCGTTACGTTGCTCGAGGCTTCAGTCAGCGACAGGGAGTTGACTACTTCCAGACCTTCTCCCCTACCCCAAAGATGACCACTCTTCGGGTTTTGCTGCACGTTGCCGCTCAGCGTGACTACGAGCTTCACTCTCTTGACTTCAGCACAGCTTTCTTACAGGGCAGCCTGCACGAGGAGATCTGACTGCGCCGCCCACCGGGTCGTTTCCTGCTGGTACCCAGTGGAGCCTCCGGCGGCCAGTCTACGGTCTCCGCCAGGCGCCTCGTGAGTGGCACAACACACTGAGGACGACGCTTGCGGCTCTCGGGTTTGCTCCTTCGACTGCTGATCCGTCGCTGTTTCTGCGCACCGACACGTCGCTGCCGCCGTTCTACATCCTCGTGTACGTCGACGACCTGGTCTTTGCCACTGCTGACACTGAGGCACTGGCCCTTGTGAATTCGGAGCTGCAGAATAGACAAACGTGCACAGACCTGGGTGAACTACGCAGCTACCTTGGCTTGCAGATCACCCGGGACAGAGCACGGCGCACCATCACCCTGACTCAGTCACACATGGTGCAGCAGGTCCTTCAGCGCTTCGGCTTCCAGTTCTCCTCACCACAGTCCACTCCTCTGTCTACCGGTCGCTCGCTCTCAGCTCCACCTTCGGACGAGTCCGTAGAGCTGAGTGGCCCGTATCCAGAGCTTGTGGGCTGCCTCATGTACCTGATGACCTGCACGCGACCTGACCTTGCGTACCCTCTTAGCATCCTGGCTCGCTACGTTGCGCCTGGGAGACACCGGCGAGAGCACTGGGAGGCTGCTAAGAGGGTGTTGCGCTACTTGTGCAGTACATCGGGTTCGGGGCTGGTGCTTGGAGGACAGGGTCGAGTTGTCCTCACTGGACACTCAGACGCCTCTTGGGTTGACGACCTGGCTACGCAGCGGTCGTCACAGGGTTACACCTTCAGCCTTGGCTCCGGCTCTGTTTCTTGGTGGTCTACCCGCTCGTCTTCTGTTCTCAGCTCCAGTTGTGAGGCTGAGATCTACGCAGGAGCCATGGCTGCACAGGAGTTACGCTGGCTCACCTACCTGCTGACTGACTTGGGAGAGCGGCCTATTTCTCCTCCAGTTCTGTACGTAGACAACAAGGCCGCTATTGCCTTGTGTCAGGAGCACAGACTGGAGCACAGAACAAAGCACATCGCTCTGCGCTACTTCCTGGCTCGAGAGTTGCAGCAGCGTGGCCAGCTTCGTGTTGCTTACGTGGCCACTCGGGCCAACACAGCTGATATCTTCACCAAGGCACTTCCGTCTGGTGATCATCAGCGTCTGTGTACTGCTTTAGGCCTCGTGCCTACGTTTGCTCACTTGCTCACTGCGTGACTTTGCTTGTACTGTGATCTATATATATACTTGCATGCTTACTCTTGCTAGGTAGTGATCACTGTACTGTTTGCTCTCTTATATATATCTGCATGTGAACTGGCCTTGTGGCCATTTGCTTGTGCTCAGAATGTGTGGTGACTTCGTGATCCACCCTGAGCTTGCTTTGCTTTTCTTGGCTTGTCTTGTGACTGCTCGTTCTCCTCCACTTTGCCTATGGGGGTGTGTCAAACTATATTGATGCTTGTTGTGTGTAGGCTGTAGTGGGGTAGCCCATAAGGGGTACAACCCAAATTAGGGTTAGCATTTGTACCCACATCTGTTCTCAATGCATTCATTCCTGCTCCTAGTTTCTAACTGGAACATGCCCTTATAAATGCCTACAGTAGAGCCTACTATAGTTATCTTGGTTTTCTGCTTGGTAGTGCACCATTTGCTCATTTCTTTGACAATATATTGTATGCCCTCCATTATTGGAAACCCTCTTTTTGGCAAACTCACTCGTTCCTAGCTTGTGCCTTCCAAAACCCTTCGCCATGGTTCCTAATTTCCACCTACTATTTTGACATGGTATATTGAGAGCCTGGTTCGCCTATGCCTATTTTATTTTCACTCATGCCGCCCCGCGTCGCGCCCTGCGTCTCGCTGCCCGTCACGCTGCTGCCCGTGACGGCGAGTCGCGCGATGGCGCTAGCTACAGCCTCAGTACGGCCCCATCACGCCCCACTGGTCGAGCTAATCACAGCCCCGTTCGTTGCGCCTCTGCTGCTGATCCGAAGCGCCCACCAGCCCGCCTTCGAGCTTGCTTGCGCATTTGCCAGCGGCCCACCCGTGCGTCAGCGCGTCGCTCCAGCGACCGCCATTACGCTAGCGCACTGCACCAGCGCGAGCGCCAGCCCGAGCACCAGCGCCAGCGTGTACGCCGTTGCGCAGCCCGCTAGCGCACTCCAACGCGACCAGCAGCAACGCCTGCTCCACGCCAGAGCGCGAGCAGCAGTAGTAGCGTGTGTCGCCCCCCTCCCTTCCGCGGCTTCCACCGTGGGAGTGGGGGGGGGGGGGAGGAGGTGGCGGGAGTGTACTCGAAGGAACCAGCCGCTATTAGGAAATTGAATATGAAGTGATGAATGAACTATGAGACAATGAGGTACAAGTAGGAAACCCTAACTAGGGTTGTACTCTATACTGAGTACCTCACTGTAGCCTAGCAAAACTAAGAACATATAAATATGTTTTGAGACACCCCCCTAGGCAAAGTGAGGGGTAGCCAACACAACAAATGGTCACAAGACTAGTCAGGCAAGAGAACAAAGCAATGCAAAGCCCAGGGTGGATCTCAAGATCACCACTCGTTCTGAGCACAAGCAGGCGACCACAAGGCCAGTTCACATGCAGAGTTATAAAAGCACAAACAGTACAGTGATCACTACCTAGCAAGAGCAAGCATGCAAGTATATATATAAAGATCACATTATAAGACAAAGTCAAGCGACCAGCGATTGAGGCAGAGTAGGCACAAGGCCTAGAGCAGTGCAGAAACGCTGATGATCACCAGACCCAAGGGCCTTGGTGAAGATATCAGCAGTGTTGGCCTCAGAGGCCACGTAAGCAAGGCGCAGCTGACCACGCTACTGTAGCTCCCAAGCAAGAAAGTAACGAAGAGCAATGTGCTTCATCTGTGCTCCAGCCTCCGCTCGTGACACAAGGCCAGCATGGCCTTGTTGTCTACGTACAGAACTGGAAGAGAACGAGGCTTCTCCCCCAAGTCGGTCAGCAGGTAGGTCAGCCAGCGCAGCTCCTGTGCAGCCATAGCCCCGACGTAGATCTCGGCCTCATAGCTAAAACTAAGCACAGAAGACGAACGAGTGGACCTCCACGAAATAAAGCCAGAGCCAAGACTGAAGGTGTAACCCTGTGACGACCGCTGAGTCGCCTGGTCGTCAGCCCAAGAAGCGTCGGAGTGTCCAGTGAGTACAACTGAACCCCGTCCTCCAAGCACGAGCCCTATGCCCGATGTACTGCACAAGTAACGCAGTACCCTCTTAGCAGCATCCCAATGCACCTTTCGGTGTCTGCCAGGAGCCACATAGCGAGCAAGGAGGCTGAGAGGGTACGCGAGGTCAGGCCGTGTGCACGTCATCAGGTATATGAGGAAACCCACGAGCTCTTGATACGGACCACTCGGCTCTACGGACTCGTCCAAAGGTGGAGCTGAGAGCGAGTGACCTCTAGGAAGAGGAGTGGGCTGTGGCGAGGAGAACTGGAAGCCGAAGCGCTGAAGGACCTGCTGCACCATATGTGACTGAGTCAGAGTGATGGTGCGCCGTGCTCTGTCCCGGGTGATCTGCAAGCCAAGATAGCTGTGCAGCTCACCCAGGTCAGTGTCTGTGTGTCTCTTCTGCAGCTCCGACTTCACGAGGGTCAGTGCCTCAGTGTCAGCAGTAGCAAAAACCAAGTCGTCGACGTACACGAGGATGTAAAACGGCGGCAGAGAAGTGTCAGTGCGTAGAAACAGCGACGGGTCAGCAGTCGAAGGAGCAAACCCAAGAGCCGCAAGCGTCGTCCTCAGTGTGTCGTGCCACTCGCGAGGCGCCTGGCGGAGACCGTAGACCGGCCGCTGAAGGTGCCACTCAGTACCCGCAGGAAACGACCCAGTGAAGCCAGGTGGGCGGCGCAGCCAGATCTCCTCGTGAAGGCTGCCCTGCAACAAAACTGTGGAGAAGTCGAGGGAGTGCAGCTCGTAGTCACGCTGTGCTGCAACGTGCAGCAACACCCAAAGAGTAGTCATCTTCGGGGTGGGGGAGAAGGTCTGAAAGAAGTCGACCCCCCATCGCTTACTGAAGCCTCGAGCAACGTAACGCGCCTTGAAGACAGGCGGGGAACCCGGCGGCCGCTTCATTCGGAAGATCCACATGCCATCGACTATGTTCGCCCCAGGAGGGGGAACCTCGTCGACGTAGGTGCCTGTGGACTTCCAGGATTCTATCTCCGCGTCCATGGCTGTCTGCCACTGAGAGGAGTACTCACCCGCAATCGCCTCAGCGTAAGTGCGCGGGGTAGGGATGTCAAGTGCATCCGGGTCTCCCTCAGGGCAAACCAGCATGGATGCGAGACGAGGTAAAACGGCCGCAAGACACTCAAGCTCAAACTGCCTGTCCTCAAGGACGTCCGTGCTAAGGGCACACTCACCCCCGACGGAGGACAGTCAGATTCCGACTCAGTGACAAAGACGACACGCAGCAGCAAAGTCAACAAGCTTAGCAACTAAGGCAGTCGCAGGAGTAGACTCGAAGGATGGGTCAGTGACAATAGTAGCCAAGAGACGAGTGACAGTTGGACTAGCAGCACGAGCAAGGGCAACACGCTGTGGAGCAGAGGAGGGACGAAGTGCCATAGTGTGAGTGCCGGGGACTGGTGGAGGAAAAGGACGGGAAACACGACGAGCACGGCGAACAAGGGAGGCAGGACGAGACGCAGGCTCACGACGCTTTGTCAGGGAGTCCGGCTGCTCAGTGTAAGGAGAAGGAGCAGGCAGTGGAGATTCTGGCGGTAACTATGTCTGAGACGGGTCAGGCGGTGGACACAGTAAGGGAGGAGTAAGGCCAGTGGAAGACGGAAGACTAAGAACCTGACGAAGTGCCGAGCCAGGCGGTGGTGAGGACGAGTGCGGCTGTGGGTAGAAAAACGGTCGGCGCAGGGCAGTATCCGTACAGTCAGCAACTCCAGTACCTCCAGCACCTCCAGTACCACCAGCTCCAGCAGCACCAGCAGCTCCAGCGCCTCCAGCTCCAGCAGCACCTCCAATGCCAGCAGCACCAGCACCTCCAGCACCTCCAGCACCTCCAGCAGCTCCAGCAGCACCAGCAGCTCCAGCGCCTCCAGCTCCAGCAGCACCTTCAGTACCAACAGCAGTAGCATCTCCAGCGCCTCCAGTACCTCCAGCTCCAGTAGCACCAGCACCTCCAGCTCCAGCACCTCCAGCACCAGCAGCTCCAGTACCTCCAGCACCAGCAGCTCCAGTACCTCCAGCACAAGCAGCTCCAGAACCTCTCGGACCTCCAGCTCTAGCACCTCCAGCACCAGCAGCTCCAGCTCTGGCACCTCTAGTGCCAGCAGCTCCAGTACTTCCAGCCCCAGCAGCACCACCAGTACCAGCAACACCTCCAGCACCAGCAGCTCCAGCACCTCCAGCACCAACAGCAGCTCCAGCACCAGTAGCACCTCCAAAACCAGCAGCACCAGCAGCACCTCCAGCACCAGTAGCTCTAGCAGCACCTCTAGCACCAGCAGCTCCAGTAGGACCTCTAGCACCACCACCACCAGCACCACCAGCACCAGCAGCACCACCACCAGCACCACCAGCACCTCCAGCACCAGCAGCACCTCCAGCACTAGCAACTCCAGTGTCTAGGAAACTCCAAGCTCCGGCACCAGAGCGGCCGCGCCGAACGACCCACTCACGAAGCTGCTGCGGTGAGAGTGTCTCGAGTAGACTAGGCGGCTGCTGTTGTCCAACGCCATGACCTACAGCAGGAGCACCCACAGCCCCACCACTAGAAGGACTCGCAGCACCCCCAGTCTCAGCACCCCCAGAGTCCTCGCCCCCAGTGGCACCACCCCCAGCAGCACTAGTGTCCACAGCGACAGGCTGCAGAGGCGGCGAAGACGATCGAGGCGAAAAACCAGGAGGGGTCTCCAAGCGTGGAGAGCGGCGAGTGGCCGTCGTGTTGTTAGCGGCGGGGTCACCCCCCTCAGCGGGGCCACAAGAGTCAGACGAGATCTCTAAAGGCTCAACCAAGGGGGGTGGGTCTACCTGAGACACACCTGAGGGAGCAGGACCCTGTGGGGGGAGGGGGTCTACCGAGGGGGGAACTGGTACTAGGAAGAGAGGCGCCAGCGGGACCGGGTGGGACGCGTGCGGGTGGAGCCTGTAGAAACAAACAGACTCGTCAAACGTGACCACCTGGGAGGAAAGGACACGTCGCGAGGCAAGGTAGTAAAACTGCCACGGCGGGGCGTCAGTGGGAAAGCCCAGGAAGGCGCAGCGAAGAGTGCGTGGAGAGAGCTTGCTCGCGGTGGTATCGCGAACAAGGGAGAGCTCGCCCCAGACCCGAAACATCGACGCATCACCAACCTCTCCCGTCCAATGGAGAATGGGCGAGGTGTCTGGCAAAGGGACACGGGGCCAGAGGTTGAGCTGATGCGCGGCGTACCAGACCGCAAACGGCCACAGAAAATGGGGAGCAGCCGCATGGATCATGGAGGTACGAGCAACCTCCATGATCAAGCCAATGCGACGCTCAGCAACCCCATTCTGTTGCGGAGAGGCCGGAAGCGTGAACGACTGGACGATGCCCTCGTCTCGATAGAACTCCGCAAGGAGGCCGGAAGAGAACACACTGCCCCTGTCAGAGTGCAGACGCAGGACTGGAAGGTCGTGCTGAAACCGCTCGCGCAGTTGGTTACGAGTAGCGCAGATCCAGGGGATCAAAACACTGTGGGCATCCGCCTTGCTGTGCAAGGGGAAGACCGTGGTGTAGCGCGTGTAGTCGTCAACGACCAGCAGGAAGTAGCGCTCCTGGCTCGTTCCACCGACGGGGGCCGGATGGGCCCCACACGTCCATGTGGAGAGTCTGCAGAGGAGCAGTGGTCAAAGTGAGGAGTGAGGAGCGGCGCGCTGCCGTCCCTCGACGCAGGGAAGGCCCCGGGGGGGCAAGCGAGCATGGGAGGTGGGGGAGGGACCTGGGAAGGCCAGAGACGAGGAGACGGGAGTGCATGCTGCGTAGACGCGGCAGAGAGGGGTGATCGAGTCGGTGGTGCCAGAGGAGAGTCTAGTGGGAGAGTACCCGGCACGAGCACGACGCAGCGAACTGACCAGGCGCAGACACCTGACTCGACGCCGCCACCTGACCGGACGCAGCCACCTGTGCAGACGCAATGGTCAAGGTGTACAGACTGGACCCAGGCTGCCGTGTGAACGTAGCAAGGTGACGGCCAGTCCAAGAGCACATATAGATCACCACACGCTACCCTCCGGGGATAAAGGTATCAACCCATGCATCTTGAAGGACTGTGTTGCTCACCAAGTTCGTCGAGAACGAGGGGAGGTGGAGACCCGAAAGAGAGTCGGAGGGGACTGCCGGACACGGGAGGATAGTGGAGCCAGGAGGTTGCAACGACCGGACCCCCAGAGGGGTCAGCCAGGGAGACTGGGACAGGTGCAGCGAGAAGTGTGACGGTGGTGCAATCACGATAGAAGCAACATGACGCACCAGATTCAAGTGTGAAAGTGTGCAAGGCCTCAGCTGAGGCAGTAGACGCACTAGTGGCAGACTCACTAGCACCTGTGGCAGCAGACGCGCTAGCACTTCTGTGGCAGCAGACATGCTAGCACCTAGAGTGGCAGCAGACTCTCTAGTACCTAGAGCAGCAGCACCGACAGTACCAGAGACACGTCGCTGAGAAAACCACTCCCGAGGCTGCTGCGGCAAGGGGATCTCCGGTTGACTCTATTGTCGCCGCTGTCAAATACCTCCAGGATCATATCCTCCACCATTAGGACTGCCTCGCTGAACGACCCACTCACGAAGCTGTTGCCGCGATAGAGAATCCGGGTGAGGCAGCTGCTGTTGTCTACCGACAGCCGTTGCTACTACCGTGATAGTGGCCATGACAGGGAGTGGCAGTCAGTAACAGCGGCGCAAGGGCGTCAGAAGTGACTGGTGTAGCTGCAGCTGCAGCAGTAGCGGTAGTCCCTGCAGTAGTAGGGCAGCGCACAGGCTGTAGGGCAAGGCAGCGTGCGGGCTACTGGGCAGGGTGGCGCGTGAGCTGCAGGGCAGGGCAGTGCGCGGGCTGCAGGGCTGAGTAGGCAGGGCAGCGCGTGGGCTGCAGGGCGTGTGGGCAGGGCAGCGCAGCGTGCAGGCTGCAGGGTAGGGCAGTGCGCGGGCTGCAGGGCAGGGCAGCGCGCGGGCTGCAGGGCAGGGCAGCGCACGGGCTGCAGGGCAGGGCAGCGCGCGAGCTGCAGGGCAGGGCAGCGTGCGGACTGCAGGGCAGGGCAGCGAGCAGGCTGTAGGGCAGGGCAGCGCGCGAGCTGCAGGGCAGGGCAGCGTGCGAGCTGCAGGGCAGGGCAGCGCGCGGGCTGCAGGGCAGGGCAGCGCGCGGGCTGCAGGGCAGGGCAGCGCACGGGCTGCAGGGAAGGGCAGCGCGCGAGCTGCAGGGCAGGGCGGCGCGCTAGCTGCAGAGTTGCAGGGTGCACGGGCGCGCGGGCTATAGGGCGCGCGGGAAAAACGTCGCCTAGGGGCCCGATTTGAGCAGGAAAAACGGCCTATCTAGAGGCGCGATTCGGGCAGAGAAAACGGCTCGCCTAGGGGTGCGATTCGAGCAGGAAAAACGGCTCTCCTTGGGGCGCGATTCGGGCAGAAAAAACGGCCAGCCTGGGGGCGCGATTCGGGCAGGAGAAACGGTCTGCCTAGGGGGGCGATTTGGGCAGGAAAAACGGCCTAGCTAGAGGCGCGATTCGGGCAGGAACAACGGCCAGCCTAGGGGCGCGTACGGACAGGAAAATGGGCAGAACGGAACTAACGGTGGGCCCTAAACGAGTGGTCATACGGATGGACCTGTTCTGAAACCATGTTAGGAAGTTAACTATGCAGTGATAAATGAACTTTGAGACAATGAGGTACAAGTAGGAAACCCTAAGGTTATATTCTATACTGTGTACCTCACTGCAGCCTAGCAAAACTAAGAACATATGCATATGTTTTGACAGCCGCCGCCCTCCTCTCTCCTCTCTCTCCCTCCAGCGCCTTTCGCTGTGGGGGAAGGGGGGAAGGGTGAGGGGGTGGCGAGAGAGATTTCGCCAAGCCAGCAGCCGCCCCTCCTCTCTCTCTCTCACTGCCACGCATGCCGCTGTGGGGGGGAGGGTGAGGGGGTGTCGGAAGTCAGTTGGGCATCTGCATTTGCAACAGATTGTCAGCGTGACACCTCCTGCTGCACCTGCCGCCACTTGCACCGTCTGCTGCTGCCTGCTGCAGGGGCCTGCAGGTGCTCCCGTCGAGCCATTGCTGTCCTGCTGCACGTTGCAGCCACAGAGCCTGCTCCTCAGGCGACCTGCCGCCGCCTGCACCTGCTGCTGCATCTGCCGTGGTTGTGCGTTTGCTGTATTTCGCTCCGCCACAACTTCACCTGCTGCTGCTCCTCCTGCTGCTGCTGCTGCTGCTGGTGCTGCTGCTGCTGCTGCTGCTGCTGTTGCTGCTGTTGCTGCTTTGTATGCAATTTGTGTACCCCTGCAGGCGGTGTGCTGCACACAGCTCTAATTGTATGCATTTAGGGGGTGTGTTGAAATGTATTTGTATACATTTATAAATGCATATAGTTGAGCCTACGGTAGTTATCTTAGTTTCCTGCTTGGTGGTGCACCATGTGCTCATTTCTTTGACTATATATTGCATGCCCTTTATCATTGAAAACCCTCTTTTTGGCAAACTCTCTCGTTCCTATCTAGTGCCTCCCAAAACCTTTCGCCATGGTTCCTAAATACCTACTATTTTGACAAATGGGTGGTAAATAATGCGGGACATCAATAATTGCTACAGCATATACAGTAGCACACATAAAAAAACCAACCCAACCCAACGATCAGCGCACCCCTGTTAACAAGATTCGACGCTGTTGGGCAATCTGGATCTAATAAACACTTACCGCCTTTAACGTTGTCGTAATGTTATACCGCCAAGATACCGTACATTTACAGCGTTTGTGTGGCGCTCGCTTCTCCCATTGGATGACGAATTATAAAATTTAGTTGTTGGACTCGTCAGAGATATGAATGAATCATAAATACTAGGCTCTACTTTTTATCAACACACCTAGTTTGAACTTTAATGGGAAATATCCATGTCAACATTAGATGAGGATTTGTAACTGCTCTTATCTAAAAGGATAGTACAGTTGTTCTCGTTTAAAGTCCGACGGAGAAACACGCCGCGCGCGGACTATATGTCAAAATGTCCGAAACCCCGGGCAAACGGGACCCTATAGTCCCAAATTCGAGAAAATTGCATGAAAAGCGGTTTTTTGTCTCTACTGGTTGTTGTTTTTTGTCATATACGTACGTATGGACCGCGCTTGCTTCAAGTCGAACGGTTTTACGCGTTATCAGTGATGCGTGAAAAACGGGCAGAAATAAACAACATCGATTATGTTTGATGCCATAATAAGTTTGTCTTTTTGTTTTTCCTTCCTGTCAGCGAGATTACTGAGATGTCATCGTGGAGCGCGCTAGGAATCGCGCGACGGGAATAAGAAACAAGCGCGGTCAAGAGAAACAAAAAATATCAGTTGTAAATGTTTACTTCAAAACAAAACTGCCCTTTTTAGCATTCTCCGTAAATGTTCAAGGCACTTATACGTGCAATGAACCTGGTCAAAAAAGGGACTGTAGAGGAGGGGCCACACCTAGGAATTAAAGGAAAAAGCTCCTCATTCTGAAAACGGGACTTTGTGAGCGCGGGACGTTATAGCGGAACCATTTGTACATCGGAGCAGCTGGACAACACGACCCCCTTTGAAAACGAAATGGATATCTTCCTCAACGGGTCATTTTGAAGATCCGTGACTGGTTCAACAAGAGCTTCACCAATCCGGGGCCTCAGGGCTTTATCTCAATGTGTACCGCTGACATCAACCTTCACGCTTTCCACCTGTAAAGCAAAAGTGCCTGCTTGCGTGGCAGAAGATTTTTGTATTGGTTCCACCTCTGGGTTTTCCTGGCAAACTTGTGAGCAAGGACTTCTTGTGCCGGGAATCAGAATGACAATCACGATTGGGGCTGCCCTGAAACGTGACGGAACAGAAAATACAAGACAATGGCAAGATTTCTTACACTTCAGGGTAGTGTATTAGAAGCTTGCGTGGTCATGTCGGGGTTTCTACTGTTCTGTACACTGCAAAAATGTTTAGCCTCTTGTGAAGTTGTTGAGATAGCCATGTGGAAGTTTTGGGTCGGCCAATAACCGAGGCACATGGCTTGATTTGGTAGGACAGGCTGTCACGCAAAGTTGGCGTGGTGGCGTTGAACAGTTTACAGTATTCCTTGGGGTTTTTGCAGCCTGGATTGCAAGCTGCACTCACTCATATGGGTGCAGGATGACATCACATCCAATCTCCCGACCTTGAATCCCACCGGCTGACCATGTTTCCTTCGGTGACCGTGGACCGAAAAAAACTGCAATTTAGCTTTTGAGAGGGCTAAAACTGCAATGATGTGTACACAAACACACCATGAAGGACCGAATTGTAACTGCCCCCTCTAAACAAACACACAATGAAGGTGGGCAACACACAGCAGCTGCATGAGCGTTATGCAGTGTCAAAATCCGGGCCAGCTCCGCACGGATCCATCCACGCTGGCTCTGTCAAATCCGCGTTTATCCGCCGTTTTGACAAGATTTTGATTGAACTGAGTTACAGGGGCAGCCCAGAACAAATGAACGCCACGATTTTCCCATTGTGCTGGGGAAAGCGAAAGCAAAACGTCAGTCGCGAACCAACGATATGCGCTGTTCACGTCTAGGCGCTGCCCGCATGTGCTTCCCATGCCCACTGTGTACAAGTATCCAATCCACTCTGCATCGTCGATTCTTGTTGAGATGTTCCGCCATTTCTCTTCGAACAGACCGGACTCTGACACAACAAACTTGGTCATTTCCATGACCCAAATCAGCCCGAGCGAGCTGACTTGTTCCATTCCACCCCACCACAACGGTCTGACAACAATCTTCTTGCCTCCACCTCTTGGGTGCCTGCTATTTCTCCATCAGCTCAGTTCCTTCTCACAACTGCTCGAACACTCAACCCTTGACAACCTCCTGCTCTAACAGTACATGTATTGTGCACCAGGGGTGTGATTCCTCAAAGCCTTTCTCCCAATTCGTTCGTCCAACAGAAGCCATAACCTCTGTTCCCTGTTTGCGCCTCCTGTTCGCAGTATCTAAAATAGGCTAATATACGAAAAGTTCTCTCGAGGTGGGTTCGTTCCCCCTGGCGCACGAGAAACACTAGACTCTGACAACGGATGGCTGCAGCTGCTGCTAGCGGCTGGGACGACACCACCGCGCCGCATATGAACAAGTACGCCATGTTTGCTCCCGGAACCGACCGCACCATCAGCAAGGAGGAATGGCGCCGCCAGCAGGCGACGCTGATTAAAGCCATCGACCCTGAATTTTCGGGCAGCCTCGTGTGCCCCGTAACTGTCCGAAACTGGCGGAAACTCGAAGCCAGCGCCGCCACGTCAACTGCCGACAACGGGGCGGCAGACCTGTCGGATTTCAACGGCATGACGGCTGCTGCTGATCCGATGGCGGCGGCGAGTAAACCGACGCCTCCGCCAAGTGCAGAGCGCATATCAGCAGGCTACTACGCGCCCTCTGCGTCGTCGTCTACCCCCACCTCTTCCGTCTCCACCTTCACCGATTCCACCGCGTCTGGCGCGTCAAGCGCGTCGCTTTCCCCCAGCCCGCCTCCCCCGGGTGCGCTCAACGTTCCCCCTTCCCCCAGTGCCGCCACCGCACCCGCCGCCGCGCCCGCTGCCGCGCCCGCCGCCGCACCCGCCGCCCCCGGTAGTACCAACACGTCGGCTGCCAGCTCCCCCGCTAACTCGGGAAAGCTCCCGCGCGCGCGCATGTCGCTCGCGCAGCAGATTCGCGAGCAGCAGATGAACTCGGGCAGATTTAAACCCCTCGTTTCGGGCAGATTCCGCGACGGGGCGTCGGACAGTGGGCGGTTTCCCATGTCGCCCCTGGAACCGAATTCGGGGCCCAACTCGGGGAAGTTCTCCGCAGTTTCGCCATCTTCCAGCCAGGGCAACTCGGGCGCGTTCCCCAGCCCCGCGGGGCACTACGCGACGAGATCGATGGGCGCGGACGGGGGGACCGGCGCAAGTGGGCCGCTCGCGATGGCGCAGCCGTCGGCGCTTTGGCGGCAGAACAGCGACGGGCATCGCATGGCGGGTGCGACGATGGAACAGAGTCGCATGGCGGAACAGAGTCGCATGGCGGAACAGGGTCGCATGGCGGGTGGTACGATTAATATGCAGCCGGGCCAGCAGGCTCCGCCGATGGGTTTCTGCATGGGCGCGCAGGGCATGGGCGCGCAGGGCACGGGCGCGCAAGGCATGGGCGCGCAGGGCATGGGCGCGCAAATGATGGGCGCTCCTGGCGCGACTGTGGGCGTTGTCCCTGCGATGAGCCCTCCTGCGATGGGTGGTCCGTCGCAGAGCAATAATCTGTCGCCGCGCGATATGATTCTTCTCCGCCCGAATAAGTGGAGCGGCGCCAACGTTGCGGATGCCCCCCTCCTCCCAACCTTCGGCTCATGCGCCCTTTCCGATAGTGAGTTCACCACTCTTACATACACAAGCAAATATTTATTTCTCCGAAAGTGTAGATTAAATTTAAAATTGGTGCATCTTGAGTTCATTTTTTTTCCCTTGTCGTATTGCCCCTTAACACTCATTTTCCTGTTACGCTTTCTCCTCATTACCCATGTTTTCCTCCCCGCAGCTGCCTCGCAATGCTCAAGCCACGATTCGTTCGCCTCGACTCCTCAGCTCTCTCGACCTGTTCCTTCCTTCGCGTCGCGCCCGCCAAACACGGGCAGCTGGGATGGCAGCAACGCAGATGACGACGAGGAAAAAGAGCTCGATTTCTCCTCAGTCCGCTCCGTTTGCCTTAATTTCGAGGAGGTTTTAGAAACGTGCGAGACGAAGGAGTTCAACCGAGTGCGAATCGAGACCATTGATATTGTCCCCTTAATTTCCGGGATGAAAAGCCCGTTCATGGCTGCAGCTGCCGCGAACCTTCCCGAGCACGTGCTGTATGCGCTGACGTTTTCCGGGTCGGATGATATTTACCTGCCCGGAGATGAGTCCGTTCTGAAACTTTTTCCGAGCCGGTTTCAGACGAGGTACTGGGAGCAGGAGCGGCGGAGGCAGGAGGAGAAGGCTAAGAAGGAGACTAAGATGTGGCAGTCATGGCAATCCCAAGGAAATGCGAATAAGCAGGAGCAACAGGTGTGGCAACCGCCACCATCACCTCACCAACAGCAACAGCAGCAGCCTCCGCAGCAACAGCAGTGGCAGCAGCAGCAGCCTCAGCAGCAGCAGCAGCAGCAGGGACAGCAGCAGCAGCAGCAGCCTACTCAGCAGCAGCAGTGGCAGCAGCAGCGACTGCAGCAGCAGCAGCAGCAGCCTCAGCAGCAGCAGCAGCAGCAGGGACAGCAGCAGCAGCAGCAGCAGCAACAGCAGCAGCAGCAGTGGCAGCAACAGCAGCAACAGCAGCCACAGCAGCCTCAGCAACAGCAGTGGCAGCAGCAACAACAGCAGCTGTCACAACAAAATTGGCAGCAGCAGCAGCAGCAGCAGCCCCCATTCCAACAGCAGCCCCCATTTCAACAGCAGCAGCAGGCCCCTCAGCACCATCAGCAGTGGCAGCAGCAGCAGGGACAGCCGCAGCAGCCTCAGTGGTAATCAGCTAGTGCAGTACCAGCTATGGCTCCAGTGCCGGGTTTCCAGCGTCTCTCCCCGTTGCTCGCCGCAATGGTACGGAAACAGCCGGCGCGGGACACGTGACAGCCCCAGCTGTAATTGAGGGACAAAAATAGCATAACAACCCACAGATTGCGCCGGGTGCAGTTATCTGGCTGTTAATCGCGAGTGCCAGGTTCTTAGCTGTTTCTTCCCCGCCTCTTGCTGCAATGGTAGCAGCTGGCACAGAAAAGCCCAGCCATAGCTCGAGTGGCTAAGGTAGCTAACACTGCCTGGAAGATACTGGAGGGTGTCGGTTGGTTGTGTAGGAAACATTTGTTTTAGTTAATCTGCTTGCTGCAGATAGTTGTGCAGGCAATGAGGTTTGTTGGGTCTTCTTTGTTGAATGGTGCCTTGTGATGTTATTGTTTCCGAATAAAGGATATGTGGAGCACCAGCTATGGTCCAGGAACTGATGAATTGTGCCAGAAGCTAGGTCAAAAGGTGGATTCTTCAAATTTTGCTCATTTGAAAGTCCTGCGAATATAGTCCATCTAAATCTGATTTGTGACATCGTATTGGAGTAGCTCTTTGGCGGGTGTAGCAGGCGGGAGCTGGATAAGTGCGGCGGCGATCCTTCGCGCGAAGCCTCGTCATGCCACGCAACCTCGCGAGCTGTCGCACTTTTGTGACAATAACGACGGGTGCCAACAATGTTCTTGCGTGGCAGGTCAGTTCCCCCCTTATTGCGGAGCGGAAGTTTGAGACATTCAGCAAGCCTCCAGGTAACGAAACCGACAGAGATATTGTGTAACCGCTCTTTATCACGACGAAACGTACTCAACTGCACAAGCCAGCCCGTCAACAACTACACCTGACTCCAATCCAATGCAAGCAAATCCCGAGGTGACCATGGGTGCTGGACGCTAGTCGTTGAACCTTCTTTATCTCACATTTCCCCCGATTACGAGCTGTCACTCATAACTTCGACCCGTCACGTCAGCACTCCCCGTCCCTCAGCCATTTGCTTTGGATTCGCCGTCAAGCCTCGCATCCCGCCATTCTCATCAACCCATCTTAAAATCATAGACAAAAGTTTTCATATTTCAGACGACCAACTCAATCGATCTTGACAGACTCGCGAGCCGCAATCACGCCATTACTTCCAACCTTGGTTCGTGTTTTGCCAACCTCCGCGTGCTCGTTACCGCATTTCCGTCGGGCACCTCCCGTCGTTACTAATCTCTTCAGCCACAATAACAACACCAAGAAATACGCCAATCATGGCGTCGAACGGAAGCTTCTGGGCGACCGCGCGAATGTTTGTGCCGTCTGCGCTGGAGAGGCCTCGCGATCGGGACCAACGCGTGTTCGTCGCTTCGCCTGTCGAATCCGTCGCGCAGCAGAGCGCGGAGCAGAAGGCGAAGGCCCAAGAGTGCATCAATGGTGAGTCGACTCGGAAAAGCGGCTCATTACACGCGATTTGTATGTTAATTAATGTTATTTGTTTGTCGCTTCGCTTGTCGAGTCCGTCGCGCAGCAGAGCGCGGAGCAGAAAGCGAAGGCTCAGGAGTGCATCGATGGTGGGTTTTTACCAAGATTAGAATCCATCCCTCCATTCCTTTCGCCCTTTTCCAACCTTTTCTCTATTTTGTTCTCCACATTGTACAACTATAAGCTCAATACTGCACGTTTTTTTTCCCTTCATCTCCTCGCAACACAACGTACAGCTCATTAGCAACAGCGAACACCTGAATTCCCTGCTAACCAAAGTCATGTGGTGATACTGATACTTATCGTCCGTCTTGTTTTTCTCAACAAGCCTCTCTGTTTGCCATGCCATGATTTTATCCACTTGCAGCCGGCGTGCGGGTGGGGTTCTATAACGCCGCATGGGCAGCCGCGCTTACGACACCCCCAACAGTGAGTTTTATTTTAATCAGTTTTTTTGGGGAAAAACATAATAGTGAAGAGTAAGGATGAACCACTTGCTTAGGATGCCTCAACAGTGGGACTTCCCTTTTCCCCTTGGCTGATTTGAGGCGTCGTGTTGAGGTATTCTTTGAGTGGACTCAGAAACTGAGTCGACTCGCACCTCGTGTCTGTGATGCTGCTTAAGCGTTGAAACGCGCTCACTGCGCTGCCCGCATCAGTGCGCCTTTCCACCTTCACATTGTCTGTTCCGAAGCGGGACTCCCTGTTTCTTTGACTCTGAGGCAAGCTAGGATATCATTCATCACGCTGCGATAATCAGTCATCCCCATTCTCCCCCTCGGTTACATGCCGCTCTCTGCAAGCTGCATGGCATGATTCGTCTCACAAACACCTTTCCTATTCCCCTTGAACTTTCCTAACTCCCTGCTTCTTGTATAGGGCGCGAGCACCGTCCTCCCCAATTTCCACTATCCTATCACACTTAACAATTCAAATTTGATCATTTTCTGCCGGGCTGTAGCTGGGTTCAAAGCAGTTGAGGTTTTAGAGGCATAAAAAGCCAACCCTGCTGTTCCCTCCTCCACATCTGATCAGATCATAATCTGCCGAACCATGCCATGGGCCAAGAAGAACCTCAACCACACAGCACAGGCTCTTATCATCAGCTCAGGTGGGTGGGGAGTGATTCAGCGTTTTATTTAAGTTGATTTAAAAAGGCCAACCACACAGCACAAGCTCTTGTTGTCACCTTAGGTGGGCGGGGAGTGATAATGTGTTTCCAGTAGATTCTGACCCATGCTCTCGTAATTCGCTTGGGTAAGTGGGATTTGGTTGTGCAATTTCCTCTTCAAGAAGCATTTAGAGCTGGGGGGATTCCCCCCCGACTAAATGCCATCTGCAACCGCTGCAATTGGAATCCGTAGCTATCTGCCTTCCGTTTGTAGTTTTGTTTAGAGAAGGTTGTAAGTGTTATTTCGAAGAGCATAACTTGCACTTCATTCATTCCTTTTCGGAGCAGCTGCCTTTGCCGCGTATTTCTCATTGGAGCATACTAAAATGGACTGTACATTCTGCAAGGCCATCCCTTTCTCCCCCTCCCCGTTTGTCTGAGCAGCCGCCATTGCCGCGTATTTCATAACATCGGAGCACACTATAATGGAGTGCACGCACCGCAAGTCCATGGAGGCCATTCATGCCAAGAGAAAAGCCAATGCCGATGCCGAAGCTGCTAGAGCCCAATAGCTGCCATTGCTGCGTATTTCATTACATTGAGACTGCAAGTCAATGGAGGCAATTCAGGCCAAGAGGAAAGCCAATGCTGAAGCTGCTGGATCGCAATAGCTGCTGGGTTGGAGACTCTGTTCGAATGCGGACATGATTCGGCATCTTGTGACACAAGTGTGAATTGTTTACGGTATTCTTCTTCAGTTTGCTGTATTGTCTCAAAAGCATGTGTTGGTTGGTGCTCTGCATGTGCTGTGCTCATTTAATTACCTTCTATTGTTTGCAATTGCGTTATGTTGCTGCATCGCCAGCTCTTGTGTATTTTCCGACTAGGAGGGGAGCAAGCAGCTTCCTAGACGACAACTTGACAGGCCTTTTAAGCAATACAGGAATGTGAGACCGATTAGAAGCTAACCACATTATGGATGGTCTACAAGGGGAAGTAGAGAAAATGTTCTTATTCTGGACTATACAGCACAATGAATCAATGAACATACCATAAAAGCAGCAAAGTGCTGCTGCTGCTCTGCTGCCGCTGCACTTTATTCTCCTCCCCATGGCTTTCTGCAAACCAGATGCTCTGCACCCTTTCTTGGAACACCACAGAAACCTCCCACCGTAAACCCCTAAACCTGCTATTGCTGTGTCTGCTCCTCTGGTCGTAACACGCTCTTCTGAAACACCACAAACGCCTCCCTGCCTTCCTTCACCAGCACTGTCTGGCTCCACCTCAGGCCCCTCGCCACCACTCAATTCTCCCACGGCTGCTGCTCTGCCCACGCACTAAGTTCTGCTGCTGCTGCTGCTGCTGCTCTGCCTGCCCCTCTGGTCGCCACATGGTCTTCTGAAACACCACAAACGCCTCCCTGCCCTCTTTCACCAGCACTGTTTGGCTCCACCCCAGGCCCCTCGCCACGGCCTGCAGGAAGGGGATGTGCTGCGCGTGCTCCCGGGCTATCAAGTAGCCAAAGGGGCGCAGGATTCGGTCGATCTCGACTGCTATGTCTGCTGCCTCGCACCTGGAGGGGAGGGAGCGAGGATTCGGAGTACGTGTTGAACTCCTCACACCAATCATGGTACATAACACGCCCAACAGCCTTCAGCCCTAGGCCCTCAGCCCTCAGCCCAGCACTCAGCAGCCCAACAGCCGTCAACCCCCAGCTCTCAGGGCCTCCATTCCCCATAGCTCTCACCTCTTGTCAGTGAGCGCCTTCTTGAAATGATGATCCGAGTGCACGAGGTCGTATGTCCATGGATAGGTGTTGAGCGCCTCACACCAGTCATGGTACACGACACGCCCAGCAGCCCCTCGGTTCTCTCCTGTCAGCCCAGCCCCCGGCGCTTCTGCCTCACCTCTTTTCAGTCAGCGCCTTGCCAAAATGGTGGTCCGAGTGCAGAAGGTCGTATGTCCATGGATAGGTGTTGAACGCCTCACACCAGTCGTGGTACGTGCCCAGCAGCCCTCTCAACCCAGCAGCCTACAACCACCCTTAGCCACTCGTGCTGCCCCTCGCTCTCACCTCTTATCAGTCAATGCCTTGGCAAAATGGCGATCCGAGTGCACGAGGTCGTACGTGCGTGGATAGGTATTGAACGCCTCGCACCATGGTATACAAGACGGTTAACATCCCTATATCACCTGGTTCCCACTACCTTCAATCTCCCTGGGGTTCCGCACCTTTTTTCAGTCAGCGCCTTCCCCATATGGTGATCCGAGTGCACAAGGTCGTATGTCCGTGGATACGTGTTGAACGCCTCACACCAGTCGTGGTACACTCCAGGCAGCCCTCAGCCCTCTACTGTCAGCCCAGCAGTCCCCAGCCCAGCAGGCCTGACCTGATCCCAGCAGCCCCTCACTCTCACCTCTTTCCAGTCAGCGCCTTCCCCATGTGATGATCCGAGTGCACGAGGTCGCAGGTCCGTGGATACGTGTATGTACGCCTCACACCAGTCGTGGTACAATCCTAGCAGCCCCACAGCCCAGCATCACGGAAGTTCAGCATCCCTGCTCACTCTTACTCACCTCTTTTCAGTCAGCGCCTTGCCAAAGTGATGGTCCGAGTGAACGAGGTCGTACGTCCGTGGATAGGTATTCGCACCAGTCGTGGTACACGCCCAGCAGCCCTCTGCTCTCTGCTGCCAGCCGAGCAGTCCCCCCAAGCCACCTGCCCCCAGACCCCAGCCCCCGCCCTCACCTCTTTTCAGTAAGCGCCTTGCCAAAATGATGATCCGAGTGAACAAGGTCGTAGGTGCGAGGGTAAGTGTTGAACGCCTCGCACCAGTCGTGGTATACACCTAGCAGCCCCCGGTCGAAGACGACTGGCAGGGTGTCGGGACTGGTTGTGGGCACCACGTTCATCGTCCACACAGGCTTAGCACGCTCCAAGGCAGCGCCAAAACTGGGAGATAAAGGGCAAATGGGGATGGGCAGACAGGGGAGGAGTGGTCGTTGCAGCACCAGTCATGGTACACAATACTCTTAGCAGCCCTCAGTCAAAGACGACTGGCAGGGTGTCGGGACTGGTTGTTGGCACCACATTCATCGTCCACACAGGCTTAGCCCTTTCTAGAGGAGCGCCGAAGCTGGGGGATAAGAGCGCAAGTAGGGTGAGGGCAAGCGGGGGAAGGGCAAGTAGGGTGAGGGCAAGCGGGAGAAGGGCAAGTAGGGTGAGGGCAAGCGGGAGAAGGGCAAGTAGGGTGAGGGCAAGCGGGGGAAGGGCAGTGAGGGGAAGAACAGACTCGCAGCAGCGGTCATGGTACAACACAACACTCCAAGCAGCCCCCGGTCGTAGACAACTGGCAGGGTGTCAGGGCTGGTTGTGGGCACCACGTTCATCGTCCACACTGGCTTGGCACGCTCCAAGGCAGCGCCAAAGCTGGGAGATGAAGGGGAGGAAAGAGCAGGGCGCGTACAAAAAGGAGTTGAATAGAGGGTTTGTATGGGGCTCGTTGTGAGGGTCCATGTTCATCCCCCACACCAGCTTAGCTCTCTCTAGAGCAGCGCCAGGTATGGAGGAAGGGGTGGATGGGGCAATGAGAGGGTTAGTGATTGGATGACTGGCTTAGCCCTCTGTAGAGCCGCGCCGAAGCTGGGATTGGAAGAGGGGTGGATGGGGCAATGAGAGGGTTAGTGAGAGGATGAGATGACTGGCAGCGGCAGGGTGCTTTTGAGACCTCTCAAGAACAATCTCTTTGGACAGGGCTTGTTGTGGGGGCACGATCATCACCCAGTAACACAGGCACGTGATATTGAAGGCGTTTTTGCGACGTCTTAAAAAACACTCTAATATCACGTGCCAATGAGAGGCTTGTTTTGAGGGCACGTTCATCACCCAGTAACACAGGCACGGAGCGACTCACTCACCCGCCATAGTGTGCGTCCATATCAAGCACGTTCCGCACTCCAGCCCAGTTGATTCCTAGCCCACCCGGGTAGTGCTCAGTCACACACACAGAGAAGCCACCAACCAACCCAAGGTAGGGAGCAAGCACACGTGGGGAAGGGTGACGTGACTCACCCGCCATAGTGTGCGTCCATGTCAAGCACGTTCCGCACGCCCTCTCAGTTGATCCCCAGCCCATCCATGTAGAGCGACAGACACACGCACACACATAAACCACCAACCAGAGCCAAGGTAAGGAGCAACCAGACGTGGGAAAGGGCGACTCACCCACCCGCATCCCACTCACCCGCCATAGTGTGCATCCATATCAAGCACGTTCCTCACGCCCTCCCAGTTGATCCCCAGCCCATCCACATAATGCCGCACCACCCGCTCCCAATGCCCCACATCGTGCTCATACTCCTTCACTACCGGCCGCCCATACATCCCCACCACCTCCCCTCCTCTCCCCTCCCCTTCCCCCACCCCTCCTACTCTTCCGATCTCCTCCCCTCCTGCTTCCCCTCCCGCCTCCCGATCCATTCTTCCTCTCCCCTTCCCCTTTCCCAACCACGCTGGAACCGCAGTCAACCGCTCTTCACCCTCCGCCGGCCACGCGCCGCCCCTCTCCTCCTTCCTGGACGGCACTGGATGCAGGCACGTCTGCATGGGGATGTACCACGCCGCATCTGCGTTGTCCTGTAGCGGGCACATGGGCGGCAGTGCGCCGGCCAGCCGGGCGGCGTAGCAGTCGTTGCTGGTCGGCTTCTGCCACACGGCTACCCCGATTCCAAACCCGTGGCTGATCTTCTTGCCCACGCGCTTCCAACACATGCTGGCTGTCAGGTTCTTCATGGCTGGGTATGGAAGGGAAGAGAGAAGACAAGTGGGAAGGGGGAGGTAAGGACTACCCCGATGCCAAACCCGTGGCTGATCTTCTTGCCCACGCGCTTCCAGCACATGCTGGCAGTCAGGTTCGTCATGGCTGGGAGGGGGAATAGGAAAAGGTGAAAACAAAAAAAAAAAGAAGATAGGGTATGGGGGAGTAGGAAACATGAGGTCTGTGCCAATGCTGATGGTAGGAAACATGAGGTCTGTGCCAATGCTGATGGTAGGAAACATGAGGTCTGTGCCGATGCTGATCTTCTTACCCACCCCATGCTGGCCGTGAGGTTCTATATGCTCAAAACCACATGTTACCGCACAGCACCCCTTTTCAACCGCTTCTCACCTGCCCATATCCCCTCGTCATCAGTGCCCTTGGCCGCACATTCCTTGCACACGGGGGTTGCCGACCAGATGAAGTAGCCTCCTCAATAACACCGCTTGAAACCACATCCCACCCCACACCACACCTTTTCAACCGCGTCTCACCTGCCCATATCCCCTCGTCATCAGTGCCCTTGGCAGCACACTCCTTGCACACGGGAGTGACCAACCAGAGACAGTACCTAACCGAATGTCACCACACACCAAACCACACCACACCTTCTCAACCGCCTCTCACCTGCCCATATCCCTTCGTCATCGGTCCCCTTGGCAGCACACGGGGGTGGCCGACCAGATGAAGTAAACCCCCTTCCTAAGAGAGTCGGGAACCGTATTTCACCGCACACCGCACCTGCCAAACCGCTTCTCACCTGCCCATATCCCTTCGTCGTCTGTGCCCTTGGCAGCACACTCCTTGCACACCGGGGTTGCCGACCAGATGAAGTAGCCTCCTGGGTGGAGCAGGCGGTTCACCTCCAATAGCAGCTTGCCACCTGTACAGGCAGGATGAGGAGAGAGGACAAGCAGTGTGACAGCAATGAGTGAGGATTCAGAATGACTCTTGAGTCGACTAAGGAGAGAGCAGCCGGTTGACCTCCAATAGCAGCTTGCCACCTGTACAATCGGGACGAGGAGAGAGGGCGGACAATGAGACAGCAAGGAGTGAGGAGTCACCGGGATGTTTAAGTTTACTCAAAAAGAGCACAGCTGGTTGACCTCCAATAGCAGCTTGTCACCTGTACAGGCAGGACGAGGGAAGAGGGCGAAACAGCGAGTCATCTCGGAGCAAGGATTCAGCAGGGTAGCGGAGTCTATGGGGCCTTGTTTTTGAAAGATTTCAGTGGGGTTTGGTTTCAGGGGAGTAGGAAGATTTTTGTTTCTGGAATTTGGGTGCTTTCCTGCTGCATGCCAGGGCACACGGCAGCGGGTGCAATGCAGAGCATCATGCACCTCCGTCACCTTCACCAGCAATCTTGGTTCGATGGGAATTACGCGGGGTTGATGGTGGTTTAGTGGGGTTTTGTTACAAGGAACTCGGCGCTTACCCTCGGCATGCCAGGGCATGCGTCAGCAGGCGCAGTGAAGGGAGCATCGAGCACGTTGGAGGGAAGCGGCTGCCCAGTTCAGAGTTTTTTTACTTATGGTTTCGATAGGGTTAGAGGGGTTTAAAGGGGTTCAAAGAGGTTTGGTTACAGGAATCTTGGTGCTTACCCTCGGCATGCCAGGGCACACGGCAGCGTGCGCAGTGGAGAGCGTCAAGCACGTTGGAGGGGAGGGGCTGCCTCTGCGTTCCCATCACCCCCACCAGCGCCGGCACTCCTCGCTCTAGAGCAAACTGAACCTGCTCCTCATGTTCATCCCAGGCAAGAAGAAGCATACCAATAAAGATGGGAAGAAAGAAAAAAAGAGCATATTGAGCAAGAGGTAAAGTGCGCCAGCAACTCCTGCTGCGCTATTAGCAGCAGAAACAGCAGAAGCGGCAGCGGCAGCAGTGGACGAAGCAGCAGCAGAAAACAATGCAGCAGCAACAGCATTGCCCACCCCTTCCTCTTTCAGTGCGCCAGCAACCCTTCTCCTTTCAATGCACCAGCAACCCTTCTCCTTTCAGTGCACCAGCAACCCTTCCCCTTTCAGTGCACCAGCAACTCTTCTCCTTTCAGTGCACCAGCAACCCTTCCTCTTTCAGTGCACCAGCAACCCTTCTCTTTTCAGTGCACCAGCAACCCTTCTCCTTTCAGTGCACCAACAACCCTTTCCCTTTCAGTGCACCAGCAACTCTTCTCCTTTCAGTGCACCAGCAACCCTTCCTCTTTCAGTGCACCAGCAACCTTTCTCTTTTCAGTGCACCAGCAACCCTTCCCCTTTCAGTGCACCAGCAACCCTTCCTCTTCCAGTGCAGAGGTGGCTGGTGCACTGGAAGGGGAAGGATTGCTGGTGCACTGGAAGGGGAAGGGGTGGGCGATGCAGTAGCTGCTGCAATGTTTTCTGCTGCTGTGTACCTCGTGCTTGTCTCAAGGCAAAATGGAACAACGCAGTCACACAGGCAAATAAGGGAGCATTTCCAAAGCAAAGGGCGGAGCAAACCACACTAGTGCCTCTTGCTCGTCCAGGGGTGTTACAAACAAGACAGAGAAAACTGACTGAGACTATTGCACTTTATTTAACAAAGACACCCCAAGGCACACCACGCCGCACCTGTGCCTCGTGCTCGTCCCGGGGCGCTACAGACAACACTCGCGTGTGGAAGCCGTCGAGGTACGCGCCGAAACTTGCCACTCCACAGCCCATGTCCATCATGGCTCGGATGCGCTTGCCAAAGGACAGGAAGGGGAAGACCTGGAGGTGGGAGGTGCGTGGGGAAGGTACAGCAGCGCCATACTTCAATTGCACATTAACCTGCACACTCTGCTATATAGTATGCTGTACTCGATATAGACAACCCCTGACCACCACCTGCAGCCATCTGATGTACATGATCACTCCATACCGAGAGTGCAAGTAACGCTGTATTTATTGCTCTACTCTATGCTGTACTCGCTATAAACAGCCCCTTTCCCACCTCCTGCAGCAAGGCAATGTATTTAGTGACGCCGTACTTTAACTGCGAATCACCCTGAACTGTGTGTACTCGTTATAAACAGAACCTTACACACCTCCTGTAGCCATGTGATGTACTTAGTGACGCCGTACTTAAACTGCGTTCCCCCGCCTGGGAATATGAATCTGTCTCCCTCAGGCTTGATCCAGTTCTGATCCGCCTTGTAGTTTGCGAGTTGTGTGTGAGGCACGTTGGCAAACCAGATCTGGTAGGGATGCAAGGGAAGGGAAGGGAAGGAGGGAGAGTGATTCACGGGCTGGGAAGGAGAGCATACACCTGGTGCCCCTTTGGTAGCGGCTGCAGGCTGCAGGCAACAGGCAGCAAGCAGCAGGCAGCAGGAAGTAGGCAGCAGGCAGCAGGGGCAGTGCCGTTCCCCTGTGCTCCTACTGCCTCCTCCACTTGACCCCTCAATTTACGCCTCTACGCCCGTTCCCTTTCTGAACACTCGAGCACACACACTCACCTGGTCCCTCAACTCGGGCCAGTTCACGTGCGCCTTGTATCCTTCAGGCAGCGGCAGCAGGCAGCGCAGCACGCTGTCCTTCCGCGGGCAGTGCCGCTCCCGATGCTCGTAGTGGCTCGTCGACTTGTCCCCTCGATTTACGCCTCTATGCCTGTCGCCTTTTCTCGAGCGCACGCTTCTCACCTGCTCCCTGAATTCGGGCCAGTTGACACGCGCCTTGTACCCCTCGGGCAGCGGCAGCAGGCAGCGCAGCACGCCGTCCTTCCCGGGGCAGTGCCGCTCGCGGTGCCCTTGAATAACGCCCCTACGCCCTTTTCCTTCATAAGAACACACGCCCTCACCTGGTCCCTCGACTCGGGCCAATTCAGATGCGCCTTGTATCCTTCAGGCAGCGGCAGCAGGCAGCGCAGCACGCTGTCCTTCCCCGGGCAGTGCCGCTCCCAATGCTCGTCGTGGTTTGTCGACTTGACCCCTCGATTCACGCCCCTACGCCCGTCCCATTCTCGAACACACACCCCCTCACCTGGTCCCTGGATTCGGGCCAGTTGACACGCGCCTTGTACCCCTCGGGCAGCGGCAGCAGGCAGCGCAGCACGCCGTCCTTCCCGGGGCAGTGCCGCTCCCGACGCTCGTAGTGCGCCGTCGATTTGAGCGCCTTGATCGCAGCCTCGTTCTCCAGGCACGGGATGAAATCTGGGCCCTCCGTTTTGCACAGCGGGAACACAGGTGCGGAAATCTGCAGATTGCAGGGTGGGGTGGTCCCGGAAATGGAAGGGAGAATTGCGAAGTTGGCGAAGGAAAAGGGTGGGAACGTTCTGAAAACCAGACATAGGCGACAAGTGTCTGACTGAGTGAAAACTAGGAGAAACGGAAAACGTTAAACGTGTGAGCTAGTACGTCCGATAATCCTCGTCCACCACGGAAGGGACAGGGTTGGGGGGAGATGGGGAACGGGGAAAGAATCAAGGTTTCAATCGGGGTGGCGGAGTGAGCGCACCTTGTCTTCCGCTGCTTCCGCCTCCAATGCGTGGGGGCCGTTCACAAAACCCTATGCGCGGAAAGGTCAGGGTTGTGGAGGGAATGGGGAAATGGCGGAAGGGTCATTGTCATGCGGGGCTGGGGAAACGGGGGACCGGGAGGGCAAAAGAAAGGGGCCCAGACATAGTACAGCACCATTTACGGTGTGATCTCATTCTACACGAAACAAACCTAAATAGTTCAAGGGGAAGGCAGAATTCCCGAAAACAGGCGTTTCGGTACCACCATTGACCATTCCCGGTCACTGGAGCACTTCGACACAATGTCGTGTAACAAAAAGAAAATAAATAAACGATGATGCCATCAAGTGGAAAAAAAACACACATATACAGACACACGCATCAAGCATCATACGGTGAACGATTGCGCGGGTTCCATCGGGTCGGGGTCGGCCGTCTCGGTGACGTCATCCTCCAACGATTCCAGCTCCACCGTTACACCTGACGACTGCTGCGGGTTGACCGTTTCAGTTGCCGGCTGACGGTCTACCAGTGACGTGACGACAACCGTCGACTCTATCTGCAGGCAAGACGACCACAGAAGATCCGCAAGAGCAAGGGAGTCAGTTAAAGTGACCGACACGGAGGAAAAACCAACCATCCAAACCACTTGGTACCGCACAGACTGACGCTGATGAGACTGCCTAATACGAATCATGCGAGGGTTTATGGGCATTCGCTTCCGCTTGCGCCGATCCATCCACACCACCCGCAGTGAATAATGTGGAGGTTTGGTGCGGATGGTGTGACCACAACCTTCTCGTGTTTCTGATTCCTGCTGAGACCTCCCTGTTCTGTTCCGCTGAGAACCATTTTTCGTCCCCTGAGTCTGCTAAGGCTTGTAGGAAAGTCCCCTGTAAGAAACGCATCTATAATCGCGAATCCATCTATAATCGTATCTTCTCATGATGCTTCGGTAGTCGCGAACGGGACCCTCGTGGACTAGAGATGCAAAATAATGAGCCCGAAGCCATCTGGGAAACAAACTCAACAGCATGCTCGCCTGGAGAATGGTAACTAAGTACCTGTGATCTTCCTGGTGCGAGGAACACCCAGGCGGCTAGCAAGCACATCACGGCAAAAGCTGCCGTCGTGCAAACGGTGTTGACGACTTCCGGCGACCATGGCCGTTTCCCCACTACAGTTGGTAGCCGTGCGATTCGCGTGGTCCACGTCAGCCTAACCGAATCGAACGGCTTCGCGACAAGAGACGCCATGAACGAAGTCCGGTCCCGCTTCTTGGTGGTTGTATCGCTACTAGGCTCGAGGCGTGCGCGACGCCTGCCGTTGAATTCTTTAGAAAACTGGAACATCTCGACAGCTTTATTACGGAAAGGTAACTATGATGTTTTGTTCCTAGCAGACTACGCTTCCGAGACAACGGCCGTGCGTGTCAGAAGCTGTACAGAGACACCTGGTCCTGTTTTACAAACGAGCGTGCAACTACGCGGAGATCTTATTTTCTTGACTGCGGACTTCAGGATGCTGACCTAAAACGACCGTCTCGTGACTCGTGACGTGTACATGGACATATTCGAAGCGATGGGGACATGGATGACACTGTACACCAGGCGGAACGAACGGAGGGGAAGGAGGACAATGTGATGAAAATGTATGTCTACGGCGCGTCGGAGCTTAGTTGACGTCAGCAAGGAGTGACAGACAGCTCAAACTTGCTCGGATAAACCTCGAATTTATCACGAGACTACGAGAAGGGAAAACTGATACCGAGGTGAACGATAGACGGAAGCTCTCCACACTCAGATTCCCATCCACTAAGAAGAAAACACTCGTTGCGGCCTGCTCGTTCCCGCCGCCGATTTCCCCGTCCGTTTGATGACCGCGCGTCACGCATCATCTTAACGTCCCTGGCTCGTTGGAGTACCCGAGAAGGGCCCAGCCTGGGGAATCGGGCGGGATCGTTCGGTCGGCAGCAGCCGAAACAAAAGTCACGCGGGGAACGGCAGCAACGAAGGGGGAGGATTCGGCCTGGGGCGGATTGAACGGGGAAAGGGTTGCTTTGCTGTGGAGGTGAGGGGACAATGTTGTTTTCCGAAAGGTCGCCGAGGCGCGGTGAAATTGCTGTGAGATGAATGGTGGGCATTGGCCAGGGAAAATGTCTTCGCACAAAACTCGAGCCGCCGTGTTGTGCGGCATCATCAAGGATCATGTTACGAACAGGTAGGAAATTAGACATGTCAGGGTGGCCGAGTGGTCTAAGGCGCCGCACTCAAGTTGCGGTCTCGAAAGAGGCACGGGTTCGAACCCCGTCCCTGACATTTATGTTTCACGTGTCACAGGTAGTGACACCAGCCAAGCCAGGATTTTTGCGGGAAATATCTCTTTCTCACTGAATTTTGTTGCCCCACGCTGACCTGTCACGTCACCATGGTTCTCGATTTTGTCACTCCGCGATTCGATGCAAAGCAGTATTCTTATATCCTCAGCACTTTGCCAAATCGCCGAACCATAAAGCAACAGCGAGAAGCCTGTTATCGTAGGTAGATTTCTCACCGCTGCATCAGCTTCCAGTGTTGTTCGATGCATCAGCTCGGAGTTTTTACCTCGAGATGCTGAGATACAATACCTTCTGCAGCTCATCCCCGCGCGCCCAGGATTCGTGCTTTGACTAGAGAACGCCGGCAACCTCCAGGATGCTGGCAGTCTCGGTTCTGAGTCAACTTCAAGAAGCACATAATAGGTCTTCCCTTACATCACGGTCTGCTAGTCTGGGGATTGTTCGCGCCTAGAGCTTCCACCTCACAATTTTTATCTTCGGCGCCGCTTCCAGCCAATGGCATCCTTCCACGCGGCTGTTTGGTCGGCGAGCTTCGCCAATAGCGCGCGCGCGGACCAGCCAATAGCGAGATCCGGTGCGGATCAGGCGACGAGACTCCTCGTAGCCGCCTCTCGTAAGTCGGCCAAGTCGCCTGAAACGGCTATTGAGATGTCTCAAACGGCGGACCCGTTACGCGCGAGATCCGGCGCGAATCCGGCCCTGAAACTCCTCGTAGCCTCTCGTAAGCCGCGTAACTCGTCTCAAAACTCTCGTAAGTCGCCGAGGTCGCCTGAAGCGCAGCGGCGAGCGCGGTGGCGCCACGAGTCTCAGCAGCAGCAGCACCACCAGCAGCAGCAGCACCACCACCAGCAGCAGCAGCAGCAGCACCAGCAGCAGCACCACCACCAGCAGCAGCAGCAGCAGCACCAGCAGCAGCAGCAGCAGCACCAGCAGCAGCAGCAGGGGAAGCAGCAACAACCGGGCATGGGGGCTTCAAGTCAAATCTCGGCCCAGCAGGGAATGAAGCCGTCGGTTGTGAAGCGCCACAGACCAACCCAGCGGCAGAGGAGGGAGAAGCAGCAGTTTGAGCTGCGGGTTCCCTCTGACAGACGAGTGCGCCCGCAGATGTGCCAGATGCTTCCGTTAGGTGTGGGTTTCAGAGGTGCCGCCTCATCATTGCATTTCACGTGGGAGACGGAGGCACTGCGTCCGACGCGCGAGGAGGAGATTAAGTACGCGCGGGCCGTGCAGGATCTCCTGAGATTACGGAGGTCGCGAGAGCCGTGTGGCGCGGTTGAGTTGTGTTCGTTTACGGATTCCGAGCACGTAACCTTGTCTGTTGAGACGGCTTATGAGACGAAAAGCAGGGGTCCGAAGGGGAGGGAGGAGTGGGAGAGGGAGGGGAAAAAGGGCAAGGAGTTTGAAGGGGAGAGGAGCGGGGAGGAGGGGATGGAGAAGGAGGAGTGGGAGATGGAGAGGAGGGGGAGGGAGGGGATGGAGAAGCTTTTGGGTGCGAATGTTGGAATGGTGAAGGGTCTGGCGCGGAGATATGCCAGCAGAAGAGTGACTGTGGAGGAATTGATTGTGGTAAGATGTGACTATAACGAGCGAAGGGTGGTTAGAGTGAAGGGTGATTGAGGTGAGGAATTGCGTGTGAAGGGATAGTGGTTGTTCTGGTGTAGAGATATACGAGGGGGAGCGATTGTGAGAATCTTGATCATGGTAACAAGTTACTTAAAAAGATTCAGGTGAGGGTATATCATAGTAGTGAGCAAAGTGGTACATGCAGTATGATAAACTTGTTAGCAGTGGAATGAGATGTTCAGTGCCTTTATTCTTCTTTGTGTTGTTGTCATACTGCTCATCAGGCTCTTCTCTCTCTTTGTCCCTTCCATATATCCTGTTGCTATGTTGTGTGCTTTATATCGTCCCTGCAACAGGCGGGATTGTCGTGATAGTAGGTATACTGAGGAGCCATAGCTAGGGTTGACCTAGCTAGGCAAGAGAGAATGAAGGCAAAAGAGAGGACTGAACTAGCAAGAATGGGGATACAAATAGCAAACCCTAGAAGGGTTGTACTCGCTACAGAGCACCCCACTACAGGCTAGAGCATAATATTCTGACACACCCCCATAGCCAAAGTGGGGTGTAATCAGCAGAGGAAACAAAGCAGTACAAGCTCAGGGTGGATCACGATGTCACCACACATTCTGAGCACAAGCAAGAAGCAATAGTTTAAGGTGCACAATTATGAGCAAAGCTAGAGGCAGTCACAAAAGGGGCAAGTGAGGAGGAGGAGGCGAGACTGTAGGTGGAGAGGAGATAAGAGGCGTCGGCTGAAGCTGCAGACACACGGGCAACAGGAGTCAAACTGGCTCAGTGGCTACCGGAACAAGCGCCCCGGACTACAGGAGTAACTGGCTCCGCGGCTAAGAAGAGCGGCAGACGAGCAACGGACCCACGGGCGACTGGCGCAGCTGGCTACGACTGGGCTACCGGAACAAGCGCCCCGGACTACAGGTGCTGCTGACGACAAGACGGCAGCCTCCGCTCAACCTCCCCCGACTGTCCCACCCCCCTCTCACACACCCCCTGCTGGAACCCTAGCTCCACTCCGACGGTACCCCCCTTAGACCCCAAACCCTAGGCTCCCACACACCACCCCCCTCAGCGGCAGCTGTAGCAGAGGGAGACGAGGGAGGAGGAGGAGCAGGGAACGGCACACTGAAGCTGCACCCCCATACCCCCCACCCCAAACCCTAATCCAGGAGAACGGGCAGAAGGAGGGGTGGGGCGCCTTCAGAAGCACGGGGGACAGCGGGGAGGACAGGGGAAGCGAAGAACGGGCCGCCCACGGGCCT